GGAGCCCATTTCCCGTCAACAAATGCCCAATTCCCTATTCTCATGATTGTTTTTTTTCCCTGGTGAGTGCCTCTTTTTGAGGGTGTAAGAAGTGCCCTATTTTCACCTTTGGCAATTACTCTTTGTAATTTGACACGTGCTCCTTTTCTTTTCTGATAAGTGTCCCCTTTTCCTCTCATCGTTAAACGCGCCCCTAATTTCAAGCGACTAAGAGCAATTTCCCCCATATCTCGCTCGCTGCGCTCGTATGCATCTATAGATGATATACTAATAGGTCTTTTCAGTCTTCTGTTATGAGAATGTGCTTATAAAACCCCGTCAGGATTGGGTTTTTATCCTCTTTATAAGATGTAATTTTTCGCACTGCGACCTCACATATCTTATTTTTTTTCCTCGCTCGCTCGCTCGCAAATAATTTTTCAGACTATCACATCCAACTGCAAAGCATGATGCTTAAGCAATGTCTTGTATGGTGTATAAAGTGAAGCAAATATTGTAATCACAATGTAAGGGTATATACCCATGTCTAAAGAAATGCATACGTTTTCGCTTTGAGATTTCCCTTTGTAGGTGCCTTTTGTCTTGGTGCCCCCCACTTTGGAAGTCGCTCGGCCGGCCGGCCGCCCCTGAGTGATGGTGTTGTGTTGTGTGAGTAACGGTGGAAATGGTAAAATGATGTTGGTTGTGATGTGGGGTGAGGTATTGTCACTCATACATCTTTGATCATACACTCATTTATTCACGAAACCTACTTTGTAGTAGCGCGTGTCCGCCGTTGATGGTGCACGAGCATCATGGAGGGAAAAAACGGGGGGGGGGGGGGACCATTTCTATCATGGACGAAGTGGGACAGAAAGAGGAATAGAAGTATCCAAAAGAAAACAAAATCGTTTCGCGTTACATTATTTTTGCATCTTTATTCATCTTCCCTCCAGTCTCTCTCTCTCTCTCTCTCTAGGCTATATATATATATATATATATATATATATATATATATATATATATATATATATATCTCTCTCTTTCCCACCTCCCAATTCACGTAGGTTTCCCCTCACCTTCCTTTACCATTGTGGGGGGGGGGGGGGTGAATTTGCCCCCCACCCCGGGTCTACACCCTTGCTATTATGCTCGAGGGATCCTGGCATGTGACAGTCATAAAGTGACAGATTATTGTCTTGGGTCTGTTGCCTTTACCACCAATCTTCTCTTGATCGAACCCAGGAGCGTTCCAGACTAACCAGTTCGATCATATCATCGATGGTGCACGAGCATCATGGAGGTAAAACATGGGGGGGGGGCACATTACTTTCATGGTCGAAGAGGGACAGAAAGAGGGATAGAAGTATCCAGAAGAAAACAAAATCGTTTCGTGTTACATTCTTTTCGCGTCCTTTACTGATCTCCCTCTCCCATCTCTCTCTCTCTCTCTCTCTCTCTCTCTCTCTCTCTCTCTCTCTCTGTATATCTTTCCAACCTTCTCCCAATTCACGTAGGTTTTCCCTCACCTTCCTTTACCATTGTGGGGGGGGGGGGGTGAATTTGCCCCCGGGTCTACACCCTTGCTCTTATGCACGAGGGATCCTGGCCCTGTGACAGTCATAATGTGACAGATTATTGTCTTGGGTCTGTTGCCATCACCATCAATCATCTCTTGATCGAACCCAGGAGCGTTCCAGACTAACCAGTTCGATCATATCATATTTTAGATAGGAAAATATATCTGAAATGCTAGTACCCTCTTAAAAACAGGATGAAACCTGGATACGCAGATACTCTTCATTGTCAGGAATCGTCATGTTTTATTCATAACTAACTAGTTAAATCGGTTAATCAGGAGTATATACATTATATGTCACAGAATGAGCTATACAAGAACTCACTATCATTGTGATTACTATCCTCATCATTGTTGTATTTTAATTATCATTATTTTCATCACTTTCATTATTATTATGATAATGAATTACCCCCTGGTTCCTAACATTAAATTATTATTATTATAATCAATATATTCGTAATCATTTACCATAATCTTTATTGGTTTTATTATCATCATTCTTATTACTAATATTTCTAACTTTCATTTTCATCGATATTGCATTAATACCATGGTTTTTTTTCTTCACTTGATTCATTCGATTAGACACTGTTTTTTAATCATGTATGCACCTTGAATCTTGAAAAGTGCCATGCTGCGTACTTGTTAGCCCAATATATATATATATATATATATATAATATATATATATATGTATATATGTATATATACATGTATATATACATATATATATATATACAGTATATGAGAGTATATAGTGGGATACATATACATGTGTATCCCCCCCCCAATATCTTCAAGGTAGAAACATTATCTTATTAATGTCGTTTAATTTGTTTGCATTTAAAAATTCAGTTTCCAATAATGACAATTAAATACACACAAATAAGAATAAAAAAACTGATTATCCGATCTTTACAAATACAGTTAACAAAGGGTTTATGTTAAGACACGAAACACAGACAGATAGACAACGAGAAGAAAACTGGAAAATGTCTATTCAGGTGTAGATCATCGGGGTAATAGCATATTTGTAAAGCGCTTAGAGACATTTGTATTAAGCGCTATATAAAAATTAAACATTATTATTATTATTATTATACCGAATGTACATCGATTTTTTTTCAAATGAAAACAGTATTCAATCATGCACCTTTACCATGCGTTTATGCAAGAGCCAGCTGATTGGTATATTGTTGCAGTCAAGAAAAAAAGAGAAGAAAAACGAAATCACTTCGCAAGTGTTGTACGTTGGACATGTTGATGATCAGGCATTATTATAAGCACGTATCTTTCCAGTTACCATGGTAATGATTCCATAAATAATAAAAGGATCCAATAACGATGCGTGTTAATTTGTGCGGTAGTCTTTTTTTTTTAATCAAGGGCAATAACACGAATCGGGTGAATTTTTTATGCTCAAAGAAAATACCCATGTGAAACTTGATAAACACTATTGTCCATAAAGTTGAAACTCTTTTTCTTACCTCTTTATGAATTGATCGTAAAAATGAGGTTTAATTCATTCTTGATAGATACCGTCGATATCTTATCAGAATTTTACCTATCAAGAATAAACCCTTTTCTCATAACTATTTAACGGAAAGAGGAAATTATTTCAACGTTATGGGCAAAAGTCTATTTTTTAAAACCGAGAAATTAGTAGTCATTTTGAGGCCAGATATCTTTGGGGTAAAAATTAATCATAACTGGTCAAGCTATTGTCCACTTGTACACAGCAAATTGTTGACTTACTATTGGGCACCATTGAACCAAATATTTCTACCGCTTTGATACGATCATTATTGCTTTATTCCACTGTGTGTGACGGTGTATGGTACAATTGATATTACCAACGACAACAGCATTAACATGAAAGGCAACATGACTCTATCAAGTTTCTTCCACGAGTCGTGTATAGATTTGATTTGATATGATTATATTTGATTTGTCGAGTTTATGCATTAGATATAAGGGATGTGTAAACAATGAGATGGGATGAGATGGAAACTTGACAAGTTTATTTCCATAATTACCGCAAAGACTTAAACAACAAACACCTAAGCAATAAAATACTCGTGCGTCTCCTATTCAAATGTGTGAACATGACGGTGACATGAATCTTAATCTCATATCTGAACGTTGTTTCTATAGGAAGAACAGTAGGGTCCTAATGAAATTCCATCAAACTTGATTTCTTGAAAGTCTTCGTGCTTTTATATATTTCACCGCCGATACACATGAACTTGCGGGTACATTTACAGGGGACTGTCATGTCTTGCCAAAATATCAACTTTTAAAACTCAACGAGCGAGGAACTTTTAAAGGCTGTATCATTAAGGCCAGCCACTGGTCGTGCAATGCATATGAATTATTAGTGTTTTAAGGTTTTTTTTTTTGGGGGGGGGCTGGGGGGGAGGGGGGCTGGGGAGGGGGGGGGAGGTGTATTCAACATATGGCATATATAAAGGGAATAGTCTCGTTGCCAGAGTATGAGATGATGTTTGATCGAATATTGGTAACTTTGATATGTTCATGAGGGCTACCAGCCCTTTACTATCTCCATATGGCGATGGTGTCAAGAGTCTGCTTGTGGTAATTGTTAATTATTTACAGTATGTCATTCACGGCATATCATTAATAGTGTATCATAATCGAAATTGGTGGGGCTTTAGGTATGGCATCTCATTTTAATTGAACCATTATGATTTACAATTTTCACACCTTTCCATATCAACATGAGCATGGGCGGAAAGCCGGGGGTGGGGGGGGGGGGCAGTGGATCCCCCTACGATCTGGAAAGGAATGTACACTATATGAAATGCCCCCCCCCCCCCGTCACGATCTTCCATTATTCCCCAAACCCCAAATAAAACAACCAAACGATTTTGTTTTTTGCTCGCTTGCTTGTCAGAAAATTTGGATTTGATGTTCACGCTCGTCATGTATGTTTTGGAGTACAATAACGTGTCTCCATCACCTTTGGAAAGTGATTTCCGCCCATAAACATGAGTCAAGTGAACTATTCCGTCCTCGATCGTTGAGACATCCAGGGAAACATGCTTCAATGATTATGTGTGGCCTTCTGGATCCTATTAGGAGGTGCTATAGCAAGATATAGGAAACGGTATACAGGTCACGGATACTAGTCTTAGACTAGGGCTAGCCCGACTTATTTTCTTCGACGCAACATGATCCAGTGGGGGAACTCCACTAGCCTGGATACCAGGCTCCCTTGCTGATTAACATTGAACACAATATAACTGAATTTATCAGGTTTCGTTCTTATGCATTTTCATTCATCGGAACGCGAGACGGATCGATTAGCTTTCAATTAAACACTGGCTAGCAATTCAAAGTGTTGTTCACCCATTCTTATTTTGTTTTAATGTAAAGATTGTAATTATTCTAATTTCTATACATTCCTTGTTCATTCACAGATATTCCGTCCAAAGAAAATCGCATTGCAAACCAAAGGAGAAGGTCGTCTTTCTCAAGACACACAAGACAGCGAGCAGCACCGCCGTATCTATCATCGAGCGCTACGGTTTCAACAGAAACTTCACCTTCGCATTATCGAACAGCGCCCTCAAGTTCTACCATGCTCCTCTCTTCTCACGCAGTATGGTACACGAACTCTCGGACTCTGCCATTGGTTGGAAGAAGGCCGATGGCTACCACATGTTAACCAATCATGCGCGGTTCAACAAAGCCGAAATGGATGACGTAGTACACAACGCGACATACTTCACAATCGTTCGCAACCCAGTCGACCAATTAGAATCAGCGTTTGGATACTTCGGTCTTGGCAAGTCTATGGGTTTCAAGAAAAATGATCAGCTGGAAGAATTCATGAAGGATCCCAAGAAGCACTTTGGTTCCGTCAAGAAAGGCTATTGGCAGTTTGCCAAGAACAACCAACTTTTCGATTTGGGTCTTGACCACAAATACCACGACGATTCAGACGTCGTAACCGACACCATCCACAAACTCGACCACGATTTCGATCTGGTCATGGTCAGTGAGTACTTTGACGAATCGGTGATTCTCTTGCGTCGATTGCTATGTTGGGACATCGAAGATGTTCTTTATATTTCAAAAGCTATACGTAGCAAAAGCCATCGTCTCCAGATGGATGTCAACTTGCGAGAAAAGATTCAAGCTTGGAACAAAGCAGACGTGCAACTTTATCAACATTTTAACAAGACGCTGTGGAGAAAGATCAAAGAATATGGACCGACTTTTCAGCGTGATTTAGATTATTACAGGACCAGATTGGGCGAGGTGGCGGAAGAGTGCATCGACCTTAGCCAAAAGAATAGTCGGGATGTTCGTGAGGTTAAGTATGTCCTCAGAAAGGGCGCTCCACATTACTGCCAGGAGCTTTTGTGGGGAGACGTGGAATACACTAGATTCATTCAACGTCGGATGTGGGATAGGGGTATACTGCTACCCCATCCTAAAGCTCAGGGATAATTTCTGTACTGCTGAGAGTCTACAGTGGTTACAAATATTTTCAAATATGATTAACTTTACATTTATTCTACTGATACAAATTCAGATTACCAACACTGCAATCTGCTGCTCACAATATCTTGATGTGTCGACGGCCATGCTCCATAATACATCACTAACTGAATGATGGTGTGTCATGATGCTCGAGTACAGGAGTCGGAAATCGCTCTTTGTATGCATTCATCGAAATATGGCGCAATTACTGCAGTAATGTCGGTGTCGGTAAAATACCCTGCCTTAAAAAAGACTAACAAACTGTAAACAATTTCAATTACATGTTATTAAAACAAACGTGCTTTGCTATTCAATATATTGCTTCCTCGTTGCAGCTGCCTTTATTACCATTGCAATCGCTCAATCATGTATTAACGTTAACTAACTAATGTGCAAGATCATTATTCTGAAATAGTCATTGTACGAGGCGTCATTTTGATTGCGTTTATACCTGCGCTAATCACAAAACAGGATATGTTATGCTTGACCCAGGAATTTATCCCAATGTTTGCATGTGCCATTTTGAATACCATGTCACTCCCACAATGTGCATCAAGGATTGGAGTCGATGGCGGAGATCTACGTCAGCGAACTGACGCAGGCGTGTGCTACAGGCACTAGACTAGTAACAACTGAAGATGAAGGGCATTGTAAGGATATCAGAAGAAAGGCGGGGTGATGTAAACAGGATGGGCAGGAAGAGATAAATCTTTATGGACAGGGGAGTGTTTATTTAAAGCTCCTCTGCACTATAGTTTGGCCAAGAGGGATTAGTACCTCCCTGCGTGGTCAGCGACAGGTGGTTATTTCATTAAGCTCTCAATTAACATAAGAAAAACGGGATCATGGGGGACCAATGGTCACCGTTTATGCATTGTTTGCTATATAGAGGGCGCAAGTAGCTATCAGTAGTGCAGTGGGGATTTAAAGAGGTCGGTTGAAACTACGGCATTGCATACGTACATATGTATTCAGTTGGGTATGAAAAGAATATGAATATACAAAAAAATACAATCGAAAACAGGTGGGGGGGGGGGGGTAGACCGATGTATGGACAAGTACCAGACATTCTTCCTCAGTCAGTCTTTATCATTTTCTTCGTATTATTTCTACTTATCGTAGTGCAATGTCTACCAAGGTATTAAATCTTATTTCGTGAGAATATACAGTGCAGTAATTTATTTTTCTTCATCATATGGTGTTCATATTTATTGTATCATGTTTGAATATCAGTTTGTTCTTATCACATTTGAGTATTTGGAAAGTATTACCGGATGATGCAACCTGTTTCTTTGTTTGTTCGTTATATATTCTTTAAATTTGTTTTGCAAAAAAATCTTAAAATACTGCTATTAAAGTGCAGTTGGGTTTAGGTTTAACTCGGACTTCTAACAACAAAAATATTTAATAGTTATTGCGACACTTGTTAGAGTTTGCTGCTAGTCGAAAGATGGCTTATACTGTATAATAACCGTTGTGAAATTTTGAAAACGTAAATAGAATAAAGAGGCATACATCCGAGATATATTTGAATGATTTGCTTGTCAAATAAGTCGAAAATATATGTTTTGTCGGTATCAATGCGGTACAGTAGAAAGTAGGACGCAAAACTAACGTAGCTGATTTTTGTGTTGCTTCTTTCAAACCCGTTTTCTTTTCTCCTTTCATCTGTGTGGTATGGTATCACTCGTTGGTTTTAAGCAGTAAATGGCACCCTTGTTTGTCCATTTCAGAAATATCAATAGATTGATTGATTGATTTTTATTCGACAAGCTTCCAACATACAACAATATACAATAATAACAGATCAAAAAAAAGTCAGCTTGAACAGGATAACCCACGAAAGCTCGAGAGCTTATTTCCAGTGGGGTCCCTTACAGACATGTATAAAATTAATAAGTTAAAATAGTAATATTTACAGACAGATAAGAAAATTAAAAGAACTACTTATTAAAGATAATAATAACAACATTTAAACTGATGATAGAAATGATATTAAGTACAAGAAGAAAAAGAAGAAGGAGAAGAAGAAAAAGAGGAGAAGGAAGAAGAGGAAAATAATGATGAATTTGTAGAAATTCTATAACGTACGAAAACATAAGTATATACAACATGAAAAAGTATGAACCGACAGAAGAATAAAAATTTCAATCATATAACATGTCATTCACTTCTCTTCTCTGACTGTCAAGTATTAGGTATTCCTTTAATTTCCTCTTAAAATGATCATAGTTTCCTATTTCTTTTACACCATTGGGAAGGGAATTCCAATGTTTTATGGCATTGTAATAAAACGAATTTCCAATACTACCTACTCTTTCAGGTAAGTTAAAGTTGAATCGTCTATTTCTTGTATTATAATCATGTACGTCAGTAACAAGATCGAAGTTGGATCGAATATAATGATTCGACCTAGTATGGTATATTTTATGCACATGATGCAATACGAGTTGTTTTGATCTTTGGTCGACTTCAAGAAAACCAGCTTTAGAAAGTTCGCTGTAGCCAACATGAGTTCTTGGACCAGAACAGTTGATAAATCTCACCATTTTGTTCTGTATAATCTTCAACTTCTTTTGATCTGACTTGTTTATGTTACTATACCATGCAGGGTTAGCATAGTCAAATAAACATTGAATAAGAGCAAAACAGAGTGTACGTCTTGCTTTTAAATCCATACAACTTTGATATCTGTACAAAAATTTCAGACGAGAATTTGCTTTTTTTACAACTGATTCTACTAAAGATGAAAATGAAATTGCGCTAGCCAACTCAATGCCTAAATACTTCACAGACTCTTTTCTCTTGATTGCTTGATTATTGTGTGTCACTTTGAATTCAAATGACTTTTTAGAACTACTTTTAGAACAAAATAAAATGCTTTCTGTTTTTCCCAAGTGTAAAGAAAGCTTATTATCAGTCATCCAATCGACACACGTAGACAGCTGTTCACTGAGCTTTTCCTCAATATATTTAGGATCAGGATTTGAATAGAGTAGTACGCTGTCATCTGCGTACAATAATAGTTTGAAGTCTTTTATACAAATACACATATCATTTATATAACTTGAAAATAGAATTGGGCCTAAAATGCTTCCCTGAGGAACACCGCAAGTTATAGGCATTAGTTTGGAACGAATATCATGAATGGCCACTACTTGGTGCCGATTAGATAAGTAGGATCTAAACCAATCTAAACTTGCCTTATCAAAACCCATTAGTTGTAACTTCTTCAATAAGACGCAATGATTAACTGTATCAAAAGCTTTTTGCAGATCAAGGAGCACCATACCAACAAAGCGCCCTTGGGAAGTTTCTCTCCTCAAATAATCAGTCAAATGAATTAGACATGTTTCAGTCGAATAATCATGTCGAAAACCAGATTGAAATTCATAAATTATATCATTTTCTTTGAAGTATCTTTCAATTTGAACACAGACCGATTTTTCTAGAATCTTTGATGCTACGCTTAAAACACTAATAGGTCTATAGTTGCTAACATCAGTTTTATCTTTCTTTTTATAAAGTGGAGTCACTTTTGCTATTTTCATATCCTCTGGAAAAGTACTCGTCAAGATAGATAGGTTCATTAAGTAACTTAGAGGCTTAAATAAAACCTTCGCACCATCTTTTAGAAATTTAGCTGGAATCAAGTCTAACCCAGTACTTTTTGATACATTCAACTTACGTAACTCTTTGAAAACAAATTGTTCACTGATTGGTAATAACTCGAAGCTGTTTTCACGTACACCTTTTCTTTCGTAAAAGTCACGAATACAATCATTGTCTGCGCTGAAAAAGTCTTTGGAAGGGGGGAGTTTGTCTACTAATTTGGCAGCCACATTTGTGAAATGAGAATTGAATTCATCAGCGATGGCCATCTTATCATGACATAATTCCCCATCAATTTTAATGACAGATTCTTGTTCTTTTCGCTTCTTATTTTTCAATCCTAAGCTTTTTAGATTCTGCCAAAGTTTTTTCGAATCTTGTTTATTTTCTTCTATCTTGTTTTGTAAGTAAACGAGTTTAGCCCTTTTCACCTCTCTTTGGACCATATTTCTTAATACTCTGTATCTTTTATAGAGCTTCTCATCTTTTGCTCTTTTCCTCCATTTTTTGTATACTATATTTCTCTCTTGAATTAGGGAAAGAATATCTTTAGTCACCCAAGTTTCTGATCTTTGTTTTATTCTTATCCGTTTCAGTGGCGCTATCATATTCAAATTTGAGATAAAAACATGTTGAAATATTGACCATGCCTCATTTACATCTGTACAGTCAGTTATTCGTGACCAATCAACAACAGATAGTTGAAGATTGAAAGACTCTTCTGTATATTTTTTCATGGATCTGATATCATTAGTCCTGTGATGACCTATAGCCAGTCTAACATTTTTCCGTGTACAGAAAGTAAAATAATGGTCGCTAATACCTAGATCAATGACACCACTTTGACTTATTTTATTTTCTTTGGTACAACCAATATGATCCAATAGAGAAGAACATGTAGGTGTAACGCGTGTTGCCTCTTTAATGAGTTGACTAAACCCATGAAGACTCAACAAGTCAATATATTTTTTAGCCAGTGGCGATTTGCGAAGAAGACAAATATTCATGTCTCCTAAAAGAATTATTTCGTCATCCTTTTTTAATGTATCAAGAATATTGGACAATTTCTCGATAAACAAATTGTTTTTCGGAGGTCGATACAGAACGCCAACAACAATTGGTTTTGATCTTGGTATAAGCAAATTTATCCACAGGGATTCCGTATCTCCAGTACTTATAGCATCCATAATATTAAATGCAATATCATTTTTGATATAGAAACATACACCACCTCCAGAGCCAGAGGATCGATCATGGCGTATGATTTTATATCCGTCTATTTCAATTTCTTCATCATTTATGGAATTGTTTAACCATGTTTCAGTGAAAGCAATAATAGACAGCCTTTTTCTTTTAAAAAGAATTCTAAGTTCCGATATCTTGTTTAGAATAGACCTCACATTGAGGTGTAAAAAATGAAGACCTTTAATTTTAAACTTTTCTTCAAATTCTTGAAAAAGAGAAGTGTTTTCATCTTTGAGGTTTGGCTGAATTATTCTTGCTATCGCTTGCTTTTCAGGTGTAACGCGCGTTACCTTAAAATAGTTTTCTTTTAGTCTATCCTCGTTTTGGCTTTCTTTCTCTAAACAATCGTCAGTAAATATTGATTCACAAAAAGATGGCAGACAACATGTTAAACAATTCCACTTCTCATCAGGGCATTCATAATATAACCTGCGGTACTCTGAAAAACTGATAGCTTGACAATTAGTGTGAAACCATTTTTTACAATAAGAACACAGAAGGCCGTGTTGATTACATTTGACTGGCTTATCACAGTTCCCACAAGGGAACTTATATTTTCGACCGTCAACTATAATTTTCGGATCATCACTAGATTTTGTCAAACTTTCACTTAATTAAGAAATAATCTTTATTGATATTCATTGAACTTGCATTATCAGTATTTATATTTGCCTACGAATTTACAAGTGCATTTCTATTTTAACTATTCTGCAATAAATTAGCTCGTCAGTTATTCGTATTTTTAGATAAGCATATTTCTTTGCAGCACGAGCAAAACTATTTCTCAAAATTTTCTTGAGTGAAATAAAAGAACCTCAAAAGCACGAATTTCAATTTCGATTTTGTTCTTGTCACTTAGTTCTTGCGGTGATAATAGTATGTTGACGAGTTTGTATGGATATATATACATATTTGGAAATTGTTAAACTGTGTCATGGGGGGGGGGGGGAGGGTGTCGTATAGGATAGAGAGGGCTAAAGCTACAGAGAGAGATGGTAGAGAGATAGGGGAAGAGAGAGAGAGGGAGAGAGAGAGAGGAAGAGAGAGAGAGGGAGAGAGAGAGGTGAGAGAGATAAGAGAGAAATATATGTGGGAGAGAGAGAGAGAGAGAGATGAGGGAGTGAAAGGGAGATAGAGAGAGAGAGAGAGTATAATAGATGCGGGAGAGAGCTCTAGAGAGAGAAAGAGGGATGAGAGAGAGAGAGAGATAAGAGAGAAATATATGTGGGAGATAGAGAGAGAGAGAGAGAGGTGAGAGAGATAAGAGAGAAATATATGTGGGAGATAGAGAGAGAGAGAGAGAGGTGAGAGAGATAAGAGAGAAATATATGTGGGAGATAGAGAGAGAGAGAGAGAGATGAGGGAGTGAAAGGGAGATAGAGAGAGAGAGTATAATAGATGCGGGAGAGAGCTCTAGAGAGAGAAAGAGGGATGAGAGAGAGAGAGGTGAGAGAGATAAGAGAGAAATATATGTGGGAGATAGAGAGAGAGAGAGAGATGAGGGAGTAAAAGGGAGATAGAGAGAGCGTATGATATAATAGATGCGGGAGAGAGCTCTAGAGAGAGAAAGAGGGATGAGAGAAAGAGAGAGAGAGAGAGAGAGAGACTGATATAAGAGAGAAAGAGATCGAAATAGAGAGATGACAGGGTGAAATTAGAGGGATGAGAGAGAGAGGGGGGGGGGCATACGACAAAGAGAAGGATTACCGGGTTAGACGCACAGAAACAAACGTGTTTTTTTTTTTGGCCTGCATCTTCAGCCTATCCTTTTCGGACCCAAAGCCTAAACGTAATGTCTAAACGCCATTTGGTCCGAAAAGTGAGATATTCATTCATCATTTGCATGATCGATAAACACATAATTATCTTTTATCATTGTAACAGTTTTCCCAATCATCACCCCCTTCCCTTTTCTTCCTGCGTACTTCAAGCGCCCATTCGTTTTCCCTCACCCAATCTCAGGCTTTGTCCAACCTTCTCAATCAATAATTTCTCCCTGTTTAAATTTCAATCTTCACTAATTGCAAATGTCGGCCTCTTTTAAAACAGGCCTATGCTCAGGTCTTCAACGATGTCAATTCATGTGTACCCCCTAACCCTACTCTCCCAAATCAAAACATGTTTTGGGGCTTGGAAACTTAAATAAATAGAAAGGATGCAGGCGTGAAACGACCAGCACTGCGCTTTTATTTGCTCGATCGAGGGACCTATACTATAGGCGAATCTAGACTCTAGAACTTCGATTTAATTATTCCAAAACGAATTCACTGTTCAAAATGGATTCGTCATAGGTATTTTCTCAATCAGTCATATAGCGTATCTAGAGGGACATAGTTGTGACACGCAAATACCTCGCATTGATTGTATGTAAAGGAACTATGTCTACGCTATGCAACCAGCGCACAAGCGCCCTCTTTAGACGCGGGCCTGCTATTATTAGGCGGTGATTTTGAAATCAAACATTTTCAAGTGGCACTCCTTTCGAAGAAATCAGTGAAATTTAAAACTACGTGGTAATCAGGAGATTTAGGTGATGTATATATGCACCTGCCGTTATGAGGAAAACAAGTTGAGTAAGTGTGAATACGTTTTTTTCGTAATTTACCCAGTTCTTGATAATATGATAAACCACGAGAAATATATTTAAAACACAAACATGGAAAACAGCGTATGGGACAACATAGGGTCTAGTCGCTATCCAATGTAAAAAAAAGCACACACTTAGTCCAGACTAGTCTTAGCAAATTTACAGACAATCACCCTGACAATAGAGGTTTAGATCTAAACCTAGGCTACCGCTAGATGATGATCTACTCAATAGTTCTTCACTTTCTTTAATTCTAGATCTACCAAAAAAAAGAAGAGATTATTAATATCAGCATGATCAGTAGCCTACACAACCAGACAACGGTTGCGTCCCTGAACGAGGCACGACTTCGCGCGATCGGAACCATGGCTAAGCAAACCGTAGTGCAGTAGGGACGCTGGTCCAAGGCCGGGAATAAAGATTGTCCGCATAAACGAGGATCATCTTTGTAAACGCAGACAGACGCGTCTACGCAAATAAACCGTCCGCATTTTCGGAGACGTTTCATAGACTATTTCCGATGCGCGCATTGGCGATGCAAAAAAAGATTTCGCTTTTATTTTCTTGAAGCATTTTACACTGACTTTGTACAGACTACAGAGACTTTCACGTTATGAGCGATAAATCCTTGGGAAGACGGACAACCCCTAAAAGTAGACTGTGAATTGGGGTTATTTTCTAATGCGGTATCCGTTTTTCGCATCACCAGCGCGCGGTTCGGGTACCCAAAATCCGGAGAGCGTCAATGAAAAAAAAACATCTGCGAAAATAATGAAGAAAAAATGTTTAGAATGCATTTTATCTGCGTTTACAACTTTAGATATCCTTGTTTATATGGACAATCCTCATTGTCAGACCAGCGCCCCTATTGATTATGATGCTCAATTCCACGTCAAACTGTTTGAAAATGGAAATCTAAGAGAATGGTAGCACAAATTATGCGAACATTCAGTTTGCATGAAACCATGTCATCTAAGAATTTATCAAATTGAGGAAACTCAATCCTAAGTACTAATAATCAAAAGAAGACCCTGATTTTCAATTTGATTCAGTTTTATTTCATCAACTAATTTCTATTTAAGAAATAGTGATATTAAATGCATTTCATGACTCAAGGTTATGCTTAAAAATGGAAAATATTTAGAGAAATACCTTCACAAAAATTGTTCTTATTCTCATCAATAAGAACTGATCAGTAAAATGAGAGCTTGAACTTTGAAGATCAAGAAAATATGAAGTTTAAAACAAAAATTTCAGTTTGTTTTTTTGCTGCCCATAAACTAACTTAAAATTGACTTGAGATAGCATTCTAAAAAAATATGACAGGTTTGGAGTCGCAAAAAGGTCTCTTGTTGGGAAAGTCTTGGCATAGATGGTTTTGTGAAACACGTACAGACTGAGAGATGTGTGAGGTTAGATAAGTTAGATAACTTTGCATGTGTGTATGTGTGACCTTCACATTTATGAATGTCTTGTAGAATTTGTTTATGGACCACTGTCATGTGTACCCCACTTTAATCAGTTGGCTGCTGATTAATATCTCTTACAGAATTCTTCGCTTTTTAAAAATGATTTTAGGGTAGAAGATCCTCTGCTGTTGACGAAAAACAAAGAATCGACTTGGAGCCGGAAGTGCAGCTAGGCTTAAAAAAAGATGCCCTGGCAAACTGGAGAGATGCCCCTGAGAGGTAAAACAAAATCATCCAAGAATCATATTGTATGAGGTAGACCTGGATTATTAAGGAAAGACTGAAAAGAGGTCTAGTTAAGTTTTCCATATTGGAATATTCAAAAATAATTGTATACTCTCTTTCGTCCCATGGGCGAAAACAAAAGTATCAAAGGGACCCTAGTCTGTTAGTAAACTTTTGTCAGCCTTTATGTACATGAAACATAAAAAAAACAAAAAAGAATAAAATTTCCATCTTGTTCCGAAAAATTTTCTTACCTCAATGAGCCAAAACATTTTAAGAAGATTTTTTTTGTATTTTTTTCACTATGTATTTCAACGTAATATTATGGCAGTTGGATCCTGCATCAATGCAGTTGCTGAGACATCCAAACTAAAGCTCGGTCCTCATGCAATTTTCCAATCCCAAATTTCAAAGTTTGATTTCTCTTTATCCATCATGTAGAAATACAGCGTGAAAGCAATGGGGTGAGACCGGACAGTGAGGCAGACCAAGCCAAGGTGGCAGCATTGATGAAGAAGGCAAAGAGTGCTGTAGAAGAGGGCCACCCAAGAGCTGCATTGGACATCTTACAGAAGGCAGCTAAGATTCAGAAGACGGAGAAGATCCTAAAGAGAATCGCTAAATTGGAGGTAAGGCAGGTTATTTCACAATTGACATCTAAGTTCAAAGGTCCCATCAAGATGATGGCCTATATCAAATGGTTATGTGCAAATATCAGAGGAAGATGACTACATGGGGTGGTATTCAGAAAATGATGTTATATTTTACGTTAATACATGTAAATAACAATGAATATTAGGACAAGTCACTACTTAATGTCTGCGCAGTGCTGGCTACGTTTGTGTAAAATTAAAAGAGACATCTGTACAAGCACTATGGTAAGTGTTAGTTCAACGCAATTTCAATATGTTATGACAGTTAAGTGAGTTAACATAGTTTTCCATTACAAAAGATGCATAGTTTTCAGAATACGGCCCCTGGTTAATAAATAGACTCTTTAAGTACCAGAACTCACTTGTAAAGTTCATGTACATATAGTAATATTTTTACTGACATCTAACTGACCTTTGACCTTTCTTGTAGGCGTATCTTGCTGAGAACGGGTCTGAGGATGAAGATGAGGACGATGACAACATGGTCCATGTGGGCAAAGGATTCTATGTCTTCAAGGACCTGTACAACAGATTGTATGAGTATCAGAAGGAGTCGCTTCTCTGGTTTTGGCGTCTCCATCGCAAGATGAAAGGAGGTATCTTGGGGGATGACATGGGGTGAGTGAGAAAGGTTTCTTTGAGGTCATTAACGGGTCAGGGTCCTGTCGCATAAAACTTTTCATTTATGGTATCTCTGCCATCAATGGTAACTACCATGGTAACATTGCGCAATAGCCAATCAAAATCAAGTATTCACTGGAAGTTACCATTGGTGGCAAAGTTACCATCAATGATAAGTTTTATGCAACGGGACCCAGGTTTTTATAGCTTTACTCAGATATTAGCCTTTACTCTACTGGATGGGCCTAAGAGGGTTCCTTGATATGCATATCATCAATTAAAACATATGGAGATCTTAAATTCAGGGAGAAATTATAACACCCATCTACATCGTTTAGTTGCTGAAAAGGCTTTTGACGAGTACCAGCATAGACGTACATGTAGGTCCAATTGGAAATATGATTAAAGTTAGGGAGGATTACTTCAAATCCCTAAACCTTATCATGCTCAAAAGTTCAGGGATTTTCAGTAGTTGTCCATAGTCATAGATTGCTTAGAGTGAATAATTTCCATATGGTTTTAGAGTAAATTCATCTTCTATTCGTACTTATTCTTTAACCATCTTCTGCACATGTTGCACCTCATTGTTTCAGGCTTGGTAAGACGGTCCAAGTAGTAGCCTTTCTCAGCGGTCTCTTTGACATGGAGCAGGTGGAGAATGTTCTCATTGTTGTTCCTGTAGCTCTCGTCATCAACTGGGAGAGGGAGTTCAAGAATTGGTAAGAGTCTTGAAGAAGAAATGCCAAATAGCAATCTTTATTTTTAGACAAAAGAAAATGGTTTCTAAATCTCTTGTCATCCACTGGGAGGGAAAGTTCAAGAACCAGTATTTGTAATGAATAATTTTAATCAAACCTTTATAGAATGACCCCTCAAAGAGGTAATCCTTATAGAAAAATAAAGTTGATTTCTGAAACTCTTGTCATTTACTGGTAGAGGGAGTTGAATATCTGGTAAGAAATGATAGTAATAAAGTTGATTTCTGAAACTCTTGTCATTTAATGGTAGAGGGAGTTGAATATCTGGTAAGAAATGATAGTAATTTAGAGGTACAGTCCTTTAGTCAAACTCCTGGGCCCCTTCTTATAATGTGGTGATATCAATCGCAACTTATTTGTGATTGATCGCAACTATGTACATAAGAGATAGGAGACTGTAAACTTGCGACTGATTTAGATCAATTGCAACTCTTTGGAAGATGGGGCTCTGGAATTCAGAAAAATGATCTACGTGTAAGTAGACACTTGGTATACACAGGTGGTAAAGAAAAGTTTGGGAAAAAAAATGCTCAAGTAGAGTGAGAAAATAGTTTTAAGACAATATATCTGTATAGATTCCTGAATGTGTGATTTAACCATGTGGAGGATCATGCTACTCTAGCTCTGAAGATTGTCTCATATGAAAGCCTTGGTAACTTTTGGGCATAATACCTCCCTTACTCAATACTGGTAGCCATTGTGTCACATAATTTCCCTCCAATGAATTACAGGGATATCTCTTATTCTTGGGTGATTTGTAGAGGCAGTGTGAGTAGACATCTCATATTTATTATTGAAATGAATTAACAATTAACTAGTTTTGTGAACCTGTTTTTCCATTCTTACTTGCAGGGCTCCAGGTATTGGGGTGCACACGTTCCATGGTGCCAGCAAGAAAGAAAGGGAGCGTCTGCTAGAGAGGGTGCAGAGAAGAGGGGGTGTCTTGATGGTCAGCTACGGACTGGTCATGACATGCTGGGAGCAGATCAATCATTACAGGGGCAATGATTTTGTATGGGTAAGTTGAGGCTTGGAGATCCAGTGGAAAGAGAGAGAGCAAGGGAGAAAGGAAGATATTTTGTGACAGAACATCAGGGAAACAGACAGACAGACAGACACAGTCCAGGGAAAGAGGAAGAGAGGAAGCACTAAGACATGAAACTATTTAAAGGTTGGGTGACATCCAAATATAAGTTGATTCCTGTTGATGGGCAGGGCTGCATACAACTCATATTTTGTCATTCAAACATCTAAATGTATTCCATAGATTTCAAAATATTTTTTAAAATAATTTTCTCAGACCTGCTAAGCTCCACCCTAAAAATTGCTCCAGATCTCATTCATCTTGTGAAATCATCTGTAAATCATTAGTGAGCTAACAAGAGACAGTGGTATGTAACTCCCCCCAGCTCAGCACATGCTCACAAAAGTATTGCATTCTTTCATACAATACCTCCACATTACCTTTCTTTCCCTGGTGATGCTACAGCATGTCTGACATAGCAACTCCTTTGTTGGTATTGTATGGTCTAATGTGAACAGGTGGTCAACTATGGTGAAGCTACATACCACTGTCTCTTGTTAGGTCATAATTTGGATGTCACCCAAACTTTGAATATAATAATATTAATAATAGTGAGCTCTTGTATAGCTCTCATTTATGTCTGACTTGACACTCCTGTCACTCCACAATCATTATGGCGCTATACAATTTCAAGGAATTAATTCCTGCCAGGTACCCATTTAGCTCACCTGGGTCGAGTGTGGCAAATGTAAATTGATAATTTGCCAAAGGGACATTAATGTAATCCACAGTCAGGTGCCATATCCACTAGACCACGACACCTCCACCTTTTACTATTTTTAATGACAGTATTTGTTTCTTTTCCTCAGGATTATGTAATGCTTGATGAAGGTCATAAGATCAAGAATCCTACCAAGACTACCAAAGCAGCGAATGCCATCGCAGCCAAGCATAGGTTTATCTTAACCGGTACACCTATACAAAACAACCTAAAGGTATTCTCTTCTGTATTCAGAGTTTTTAGTTATACAATTGTTGATCTTGTAATATTTTCTGTTTTCTTCCAGTAAACAGTCTTTTGTATTGCTTTTTTTTTCTTCTCCATTACCAGGCAAGGTTTACTCAGTTTTTTCTGAGTGCCCTGATATGTATCAAAGATGTGTTTTTTAATTTAATTTTTTAAATCTGAAATTATGCTGATGAATATTGTAACTTTGTAAGATATCAACTAAAGATTTGGAATTGGATTGATGTGCACAACATGCGATGTGGAGGCCTGGGCAACGTTTCACAAAACCGTCATAAGTACAAGTTCACCGACATCCCATTAAAACGCATGTTAATTGTAATGTAGGCATTTCAATGAGATGTCGGCGATCTTGTACCTATGAGGGTTTCATGAAATAGTACCCTGATGGCTAATTTTAGGCATAAAGGAGACAAAATGTTAATGTGACAAGTCTGATTCGATCTTGCATTTTGTAACATCCATACATGCAGTTTAACAAGAATAGAACATACAATTGTTCTCTATTGACCAACTTCAAATGAATATACAGTGAATGTGTGTATAATTCATCCGGAGCTGTGATTTTTAAAATGACAGTTTGGTACTCATTGTCTGCTGAGGGCCAGAAAAAGGCATTATTTAGAAAGCAGCATTTTTACATAGAGTTAATGCACTTCCGGTGTTCAGGAGTGATGTTCATACACACAATGTGACTTATTACTCCATTAGCTGTATAAATATCCTTAAAATGTATGCCTTTTGTAATTTTTTCCAGGAACTTTGGTCTCTCTTCAACTTTGTGACACATGGAACTTTGCTTGGGACACTGCAAACTTTCAAATCAGAGTATGATAATCCAATCACAAGGGTAAGTCAAACATGATGTTCCTCTAGCCTTTAGTAGAGATGCCGTGGTCTCGTGGTTAGGTCGCTGGACAGTTTGTCACGTGGTTTGTGGTTCCCGCTAGGGTACTTGTGTCCATTGGCAAGATATTGATCTACATTTGCCACTCCCTACCAGGTGTAGTGAATGGGTACCTGGTAGGAAGAAATTCCTTGGATGCTTGAGTGCCTTATCATGGGAGCTCAGGTAAAACTGGGGTAATAATATGATTGCAGGGCCCTCAGGGAGAATAGTATTAATACTGATGAGGCTACCCTGGGTAAAAAAGATATATGATCATCATTATCATTTCTATTATCAGCCTATTTAGTACAATTTTCCACATTTTTTTGGGTTGGATTAAGAACTTTTTATTTCAAGCTCTGACAATATAAAAAATGTATAAACAGAACTAGCAAAAACTTTTACTTGCAATGTGTGTCCATTTGTTGTTCTGATACCATATGGCATTTTTTGTGAGGGATTTTAATGTTGAAATTAGCATTGAAATCGTTTAAACTGTGTTAAAAAGGATAAAATCACTGCAGTTCCAAACAAACAAGCAGTTATGAAACATTTTGGCATTTTTAAAAATTAATTTATCCAAAATTCCAAGGTTACTTGATACTTTGAATAATGTTTGAATTTGAATAATGTTATAATGATTATTAATAAACTTCATATTTCATTCATACATAGTAGTATGGTATTTGTAGTATTCTACATTGTAAAAAATAATGGCACATAGAAATGCTTGCACATCTAGATGATGTATGTTTTGTTTCTCAGGCCAGGGAACAAGATGCCACTGCAAGCGAGAAGCTCCTTGGCAATGAGATGGCAGAGAGTCTCCGCCTCCTCATAGCACCGTACTTCTTGAGACGAACCAAGGCCGATGTCTTAAAGAACAAGAAGGAGGACAGTGAACAGGGTGATGGAGGTAGCGAGGCCAGTGGATCTACCAGAGGGTCCCTGTCGCCAGAGTGAGTGTTTGGATTGGAGGTGGGGAGGGGGGGGGGAGGAATAAATTTCATTTCAATTTCAATTTCAAAATATTGTCCAGAATTGGAAATTTGTTTTTCTCACATTTTACAAACGTACAAAGAATCAAAATAAGTTTACATACATAATATATCATATCTTAATCATAATTAGTTGGGGTTATTAGTGTGCTTAATATTTGTATGTCAATAAAAACCTCAACTTCTGTTGTCCTCTTTTCTCTTTTATATTTTTCTATCAATAAAAGCCTTAGTTGAAGAGGCCAATAACGAATTTGGTTTTTAATCACCTAGATGTAGATGCAATTAATTCTTCACTAAATTCAATAAATCAATCAACATAACCAACACAGTATCCAATCTAACTGCCATGGTCTTATTCTTTTGCCCCATTTTCTTTTTTATTGTTGTTTTTATCCGACGCAGAACTGTAATCCCCTCTCTGACCCGGAAGAATGACCTGATCGTGTGGCTATCACTGACCGAAACCCAGATCCAAATCTACAAGGATTTCATCAGTCTCGATAGGGTCAAAGAGGTAAGTTCTTTCGATACTTACACAACTTTCTACTTTTTACTTCTGAATGAGATTTTGGTCGAAGGTTCTGTTTTATGTCCAAGAAGTTATTATAAAGTACTCCCTGTTTGGATTATTGATGGTGATGGTGACAACAATGATGATGATGGCAATGATGGTGATGGTGACGATTACGATGATGATGATGATGATGGGAATGATGATGGTAATAATGATCATGATCATGATGGTGATGATGGTATTAATGTTACAATGGTTTATTCTAAGCTTACATTGGCCTCTCCTGAGGGAATGCATTTTAAGAGAAGTTAATTCAAATTGCTTCTGAATCGTATCACCCAAAAGATTCTATTCTCCATTTTCTTCCTAGTTGCTGATGACCAAACGATCACCTTTGGCCGAGCTAACTGTCCTCAAAAAGATCTGTGACCATCCGCGGCTGCTGTCCAATCGGGCTTGCAGACAGCTAGGATTGCAGATGTCTCAAGAAGGGTGGGTTTTATGTGTTGTTATCTACTCTATATTCTCAGGTATAACAGTAAGTCTCCGCCTCCTCATAGCACCATACGAACCAAAGCTGATGTCTTTAAGAATGTCTATGAAGAATTCTGTAGTTATAGGTCACTTTTACATCACTTTTGAGTGAATAACTTATATATATTTGGAATGTTTTCAAAATTTGTGAATGATGGTGGTATATTATGTCTCTGTCTCTTTGCTCTTCTTGCATTTTTGTATTCACTCCTTTCCTTACATGAAGTAGGATTCTGCATGACATTTGTATTGTATTGATAGTGTGAATGCATAGTTTACATATACATATAAAGTTGCACTTCTGTTAATTATATGTTGTGAAGGCTTTAATGGAAGTATACTGCTCTTATTCATTCATCTCTGAATATATGATTGGATGATGATCCAACACATTCTTTTGGCTTTATATTCTGTCAAAGCTAAAGGGTTAGGGTTGCAAAAGGGTTCTATGCTAGGTTTCGGGTTCAGGCTGGGGTTGCAATAGTGTTTAGGTTAGGTTTAAGTAAAGTCTGAGATCCAGGTTCGAAGTTCGGAATTTGGGTAAATCAGGAAATAGACCACAAAGCAATTGTCACCGCAGCTTCTGTTGTAGAACTGTTAAGATTGATGGAACCTCTGCCCTTCTTGCCTCATTCCTCCGCAGGTATGATGAGAACGATGATCCTTCTGAGATGGAATGTGCAGCCAACAGCGTCCACACCATCAGCGAGGAAACCCTCTTCCTGGAGTCCGGCAAACTCCAGTTTCTCGTCAAGCTACTAACCAATCTCAGGGAGGAGAAGCACAGATGCCTGGTGTTCAGCCAGTCACGCAAGATGCTGGATATCATCGAGAAGATCCTCAGAGCAAGGGTAATGATTTGGCCTCTTGTTAAAGCCCCACTGCACTACTTATAGCTACTTGCGCCCTCTATATAGCAAACAATACCTAATTGGTGCCTGTTGGTCCCCCATGATCCTCTTTTTCTTATGTTAATTGAGAGCTGATTTGATGAGCTAACCGCCTGTCAGTGACCTTGCAGGGAGGTCTAATCCCCCTGGCCAAACGGGCTTTAATTCTCTATTTTGAAATGTTTCATGTTAAATTCACCAGTTATTTACCGTTGCTAAATGATGCTGTATGTGTATGCATCTTAATTTGATTATGATGGATTCATCGTCTGAGATTAAACAACTGAAATACAACTAATCTTTGTCCAGTCAGATACATACTGGTATACATGTATACCAAATATAAATTTCTATATCAAATTATGCTTGATGTATAAGCATTATAAACAATTGTTTGCACTATAAAACACAAGATTGGTACATAGGGATGTTAGCTTTCAGATTACAACCTGAATTTAAGTCCTAACACCTCTTTATTTAATTTTTTCCCCCAAAACCTTCGTTTAACACAACATATTGGGCTTCAAAAACAAATCTCTTTCCATGCTATTTTGATTTGTTTTTCTTCAATTTTAGTATCTACCAGAGCCAGTGTGCTAGAACCAGTGCTTGAGAATAGCAAATTCCTGTTGCCGTTGATCTTACTTTTTTTAAAGATATGAATAAGATAGTGAATGAAAGTATAGTGATTTGTGCCTTTCAGTCCTCCACAAATTTCTCCATTTTATTTTGCTACATTGCAACTTTCTCACACAGGGATTCAAACTGATGAGGCTTGATGGTACCATCAAAAAGATGAGTGATAGAGAGGATAGAATCAGCCGTTTCCAAAGAGATTATTCCTACAGTGTGTTCCTCCTCACGACCCAAGTGGGAGGGGTCGGTCTGACACTGACCGGCGCAAACAGGGTGGTCATCAGTGAGTAGAAATGGTTTGAACATTTTTGTGTGTGTGTGTTGGTAATGGTATGTGAAATACATGTAGGTTATGGTGGTGATGATGATGAGAAGGATTAGGAAGAGGATAGTGATGATGGTGATTAGAGTGATGTTAATGATGATGGTAATGATGGTATTAATGATATCATTATGTTGTTAATGACCATAAATGAAAATGATGATATTGATGATAAGAGAGAATAGAAAATAAAAATGCGAGATAAGAGAAAGTGAAAGGAGTGGACAGATAAAGAAAGAGAAGGGGGGGGGGGAGGGGAGAGAAATGAAGGGGTACCAACAGATTTCATCATTTTTAGTATTTTGAAGATGTTTTTTCTGCTTCGTTTTAAATCTCTGCAGTTGATCCCAGCTGGAACCCAGCGACAGACAGCCAGGCTGTGGATCGGGCATACCGCATCGGTCAGACACGGTCAGTGGTCATCTATCGTCTCATCACCTGCGGCACGGTGGAGGAGAAAATCTACCGAAGACAGGTCTTCAAGGAATCCTTGACCAAACAGGCCACGGGCGGCTCCAAGAATCCTTACAGGTCAGTTAGGCTTGTCTTTCTTGCATTCTTACTCTAGAGTTAGTCTATGGTACTGGTCATCTTGTATCTTAATTGCATCTCATATTGGTAATATGAGGATGTTAGGAAGTGTAGGAAATTAAGCATCAAGCAGTTGCTGCTAGAGCATGTGTCTTACATTCCATAAGATACCGCTTACATTTAAAGGATTTACAAAGTTTTGGTATGGGGTCATGAATTTGGTTCAAATGAACATATTGGAAGCATATGCGATTTTACAATATTCAATGATCGTTGTTGCAGTTGAAATCGAGTCTAAAGTGATGAAATTGACCGATTTGCTATTAACGTTTGGAAATTATATATCAGAACTGCATATTCTGAGATTTTCATGGTCGCAGCTACACGTACCATGGAATGGCCTTAGGCGCTATTTGAAATATTTAAAATTTATCAGGAGCACTGATAAATTTTTGATTATTCAATATATTGAAAGCAGAAGTGTTATAATACATCCACAGGGGCATCCAAATAGATCTAAATTGTAAAGAATTACTATCAATCCAATTTTCGAAATTTCCCCAAACTTTGCATTACCTTTAAGTTATTTGCACAATGAATGTCAAAAGTGTTATTTTCATGTATATTTTGCCTGATTTGTGCTCTGGACTCTGGTATAGCTATCAACTCATTACAATCATCGGATGTACTAGACTGTAAGATGTAGTTGGTAAAACTTAGCAACATATTGTACAAATATACCTTTGCATTGCCCTTTTCAGGGGCTGCTGCTGCTAAAAGCGCAGATAATGATATTGTAGGTAAGCTTCTTGGGAACTAAGACTAGGAGCTAATCATAATATTTGTGTACAGACTCAGTGTCTCTGCATTTTGAGAAAAACTATCTGAAAGGCATTCTAAATACTTGACTCTTGAGTATAGGAATAGGAATCCTGATCTTAGGTTGTTTAAACCAGCTAAATATATAACTAGCTTTCATAATCCTGCTTGTATAACCGACCGTACTTATTGACTAGCATATAGGAGAATCCTTTTGTTGTAAAAACGACATGCGTGCACGCCGTAATCATCCCACATGCATCTGTTGTGTGCTTGCGTATACTTCTCATCAACTTCTCATCGCCATGAGTTTTCATTTTCTAAAGCATTCTTGATCCTAAAATATCAGATTTAAAATTTCAAAGTATTTAATTCTTATGAAATAGATGTACATGTATGTCAGGTGGATTGATGGACTTTCTCAAATTGTCTCAACTGCCTTTTATGCTTCGGAGGATCTGTGACTATGAATATTAAAAGTGATACACAATTCAAAATGAAAGGCTTTGGAAATGAAGAAAATACAGACTGGTAGTGCTAGAACATTTATTGTTTTGGGACCATCACAATGAAAATCTTACACCACCAAATCATTGCTACGGATCTATGCATCAATCTATATTTATTTTGATCTATTCATGAGATGAAAAATCACCATCATTCAGTTAACCTTTTACCTATGTGAACTGGGATATCCTTGTATTAAGTCTATGGGGATTAAAGAATTTAGTAGTCATTGGGTTAAAGATGCAGCCTTAGACCCCTGTTACACATGCGTCGGCTTTTAAAGCGGGCCCCGGAGGCGGCCTCACGTCTGCAATTTGAAGCCGCCTCGAGATCATCAAACCCCTGTTACACATGATCTCAGGCCCGCAATTTTGCGTCTACACATATGCCGGCCTCACGTCGCCTTTTCACGAGCTGACGTTGGGGCGGACTCCAGAAAGACAGAAAGAGAAAGTGATAGAATGATACAACCAAAGAATAGCATAAGAGAAGATGAAAGAAGGAAGAAACAAAGAATTACTGAAGGAAAGACAGAAACAGAAAGTGATAGAATGATAAAAACAAAGAATAACATAAGAGAAGGTATTAGAAGGAAGAAACAAAGAATAACATAAGGAAAGACAGAAAGAGAAAGGGATAGAACTATAAAAACAAAGAATAACATAAGAGAAGGTGATAGAAAGAAGAAGCAAAGAATTACATAAGGAAAGACAGAAAGAGAAAGTGATAGAAGGAAGAAACAAAGAATAACATAAGAGAAGGTAATAGAAGGAAGAAACAAAGAATAACATAAGGAAAGACAGAAAGAGAGAGTGATAGAATGATAAAAACAAAGAATAACATAAGAGAAGCTGGCAAGCGCGCCCGATGTATTATGTTGATAGTGATGACAGGTTAGGTCACTTCTGCTTATAAGCCGGCCCCGAGTCCACTTTGGTGTTACACATACTGATTGCGAGACTGAGTCCACCTGGCCTCAGTCCGGCTTTGCGAAAAAAGTTGGTGTTACACATACGTCGAGCCGACTCCGGGGCCGGCCTCAGTCCACTTTTAGATGTATGTGTAACAGGGGTCTTAGACCTAGTGAAAGAAATGGGTACTTCTTTCCCCTCATGAAATACATTTACCATCTTAGTCATAATCATTAACCCTCATTCACACATAGAAATTGTAGGAAGCATCTCTTATAATAAAGATATCTGCACAATAAGGATTTTTTTTTTTTTTAGAGAGATCATTGGTACATGGGCAACAAAACATGGTATACAGGAGTTTTGGTATTGTTTTCCACAAGACCTTAATGAAGAATATTTCTTAATTCGTTGTATGACTGCTTTACAGTATGAAAATGAATTCTATTGCTGATTTTCCTCAAAATCCTGTTTGAATATCGTCTGCTTGGAGCAAGCCATGAGGAATCTGTATCCAATAAGGGGGGTGTTTCACAAAGATCCTTAGGCGAACTTAGCTCTAAGTTGGACTTAAACATTATGGAGAGCCATTTGTAGCCTTAAAATAAAATATACCGGTATTCAAAATCAAAAACTCAAGAATTGTAGACTTTTCATAAATTCCACATCAAGAACATGAAATCTTCTTGATGATAAAAATATGAATGATTTGAATCAATATTTTATGCCTTTTAAAATAACTTTTACACAATATTTTCATAGATGCTATGGGCTTTCAATAATAATAATAATAATAATAATAATAATAGGCATTTCTATAGCGCCATCTATCTAGATAATTCTATTCCGAGGCACATTTATTATTACCCCGGCTTTAGCCTAGCAGCTGCTCCATAACTGCCAACTTAGGATCTTTGTGAAACACCCCCCAGATTAGATAATGTCCTTGTGTCTTCAACGAGGCGATAATAGGATAAATACAGTCATCTACAGTAACAACAAAAAATAGCTTTCATCAACCAATCCATGCAAGTCCTTATGTAGACAAACGCATGTTGCATCCCATTAGGTGCAGTCTGAATCTCATCTGCATGGCAAGGATTATGCGCCAGGGAGATAGGGACACTGTTCTGGAACACTTAAAACCAAGGACACTATTTCCAGTTGTTCCTGGAGACTTGAACTGGTCATGTCGATGGAGATCGCCGAACAGCTATTCAGCCAAAGATCTGTTGATTGCTTTCCTGAAAAATGGCATGAAAGACAAAAAAAAGAGATGTTTTATAGGTAATTGAGGTCATTTTAGAAAACTTTATCCCATCAATGAATTCATTTTTTAAAAATCTAAATGCAACTCATGGGCCTATTGTATAAAACTTACCATTGATGGTAACTTTTCCATAAATGGCTACTACCATGGTAACAGGACTCAACAGCCAATCAAAATCAAGGTTTCCATGGTAGTTACCATTGATGGCAAAGTTAACATCAATTTCATCAATGGTAAGTTTTGTGCAACAGGGCAGGAATGATGTAGGTGTGGCCCTCCTGAAGGGTGACACTGCAGGCAGACACAGGGGATTAGGATTAGATCAGTACACCTTCTTCTCTCTTGATCCTTACCTCCAGAGAAGATGTACAAAGTGTTGGATGACACTACAGTGCTCTGGGTAATGATCTTAAAGGCATTGCTTAACAATGTTAAATCTGAGATGCACAGCCCTATGTATTATCACTGACTGTGATATGATGTAATATTGCCCTAAAAAAATTGTGCTTCAAAATTATCAAGAAGTGCCTCAAAAAAGTAAAAATCTTTGAGTGACCGTACGTTTTACCATACTTGTTTTCCCCAGTAGACTGTAGTGTTATGAAAACCGTTAACAAGCGCAAAATTTGGTTTCAATTTCCAATCATAATTATCTTGATAATCAGACAGGTCAGATATGGGCAGATGTACTTGGCTTGTAAAAGTCATGGGGTTCCTGACTGATCTAAAGGTCTATAATTATCATTGCAGCATGAGCTAAATCCAGGATTCTATTTCAGAATCTGAGACAAAGTTACCAGATTCCTAGAAGGTTTTTGTTATTTTTCAAAGCATGTAAACAAAACAAGTGGACAAAGAGGGTTAGATGTGCCCCCCCCCCTTCGATATCCTTTATAATCACTTCTAGCTATGGATGTCTACAGGCAGGCGCGTACGCAGGGGGGGTGTTTGGGGGGTTAAACCCCCCCCCCTTTGGTATTTTTTTTAGTGTAAACCCCCCTAAAAAATTCCTAAAACACCCCCCTTTGGATTTTTTTTTTTTTTTTTTAATTATTAAAAAAAAAAAAAAAAAATACCCCCGTGGCTGACCTAAGAAAGGTGACCTTACCCCCCCCCCCCCAACGGAGCAAAATGTCAAATTTTCAAATTTCGAGACCAAAAAAAAAAAAAAAAAGTGTCCTCTTACCCCCCCCCCCCCCCCCCCCCACTGAGCGACTTTTCGGCTGGCTGAGTCGTTGCGATTTTTTTTTGGACTCCAAAAAAAAAAAAAAAAAAGTGTCCGCTTACCCCCCCCCCCCCACTGAGCGACTTTTGGGCCAGCGCGATTTTCAAATTTTCCTGAGTCGTTGCGAAATTTTGGACCCGATTTTAAAAACCCCCCCCCCTTGAAAAAATCCTGCGTACGCCACTTTCTACAGGTGTTGCCCTTTTGTCAAATGTAACTGCAGTCAACATAAAATAGAGAAGAGAGGTAAATCTGCCTCCATACCTTTGATACTCCCCTTGAGAAAGTATGTATTTGTTGACATTTTGTTGGAGGACCCCAAAGGCAACACATACAAAAAATAGGGAGTAGATCTTCTCCCTTTAGTTTCTCTTAAAACTCGCCTCAGATTAGGATATAGGTGTTTTTTCGTGCGCCTGTAATCCAGCTAACAATGGAAGTTACAAACTGATTCAGCCGAGGACGCAGGTTCGAAACTGAGTCACGTCTTTCAGATGGTGACGTTAAAAGTCGGTCCCCTGACGTAAATAATCATATCTGATTGATACACGTCTGTAAAAACCCAATTACACAAACACACACACGCCCGTATGTGATTTCACCACAGGCACAACTCTGTTTTTATAAAGAATACCCCCAAAATGGACAAGGGAAGTTTTACCTCCAGCGAGAATGTAGGTGTGGTACTGCTCTAGACTAACACCACAGGCAGCACTGCTGGAAGAACTCTTTACTGTGGCGCTAGTTCCCCGAGTGATGTCACCGTCTTCATCTCGGAAGATGGCTCCAACTTCAAGAGTGTAGGTCCGAGGGCCATAGCTGGTGATGGACTCTTGTATTTGTGTGACCTTAGCCAAGATTGCTGTGAATTAAAGTAGGAATGGAGTGTGAATCAGCTTCTGTGTCCCTGCACTCTACTCACTCACTGTTCAGCGTTGGTTGTCTACAAGAAAGCCGTTACTGCCACTGAAATCACATAGCTCTTACAGAGTTCTTTGGGACCACCAATTATGATTTCTTCGATCTTTGAAGGTTTTATCGTTTGAAACAAGGTTCTATATTGTCATATTGTCCAGAGATATCATGATCTATCGAGTCCTGGTGTAGTAAACGTTATGGAACTGTGGATCAAATTGTTTGTTGTGCAAATCCCTGCTGCAGCATCAATGTCCTTTGACAAGCCTTTAATCTGTATTTGCCTATCTCAACTCAGATTAGTAAATTGGTATACCGTAGGAAGTTATTCATTGAATGCTTTCAGCAACTTTAGGGCAGCTTTGCTGAAGCCAGTGTAACAAGATACTACTTTATAATCATCTTGAGCAATCCCTGCATGTCTGTATGTGTAATATAATTGAGAATGTAGCTATTATCATTCTTATTATTGTCATTGACTAGACAGGTCTGCAATGACTTGCATACTGTATAAACTATGTTTACAGAAACACAGCTCTGTATGAATGGTAAGATCGAGAAGAGAAGTAGCTCGTGTTTCATTGAATTGATAACTATTCAATTATTAATATTTTACAACTATTTGACTAGTATTTCACTACCATTTCAATTGTTATTTGTTGCTTTACTACAATTAATTCCTAAAAGTTACTAAATTGTAGACATGGTCCAGTTTCACACATGTTTAGATAGATGTTTGAACTAGTTTGAACTACATGGATGATTCTATTCTCAATACTATCCATTTCTACCTTTTGGTATAATACACTAGAAAAAAGCCACACCCAAGGCTATACAGTCAGTGTAAGTGCTCTGCATTTCAAAATGTTTTCTAAAACACAGTATTTAAATAATTTAAATGAGGATACATACCAAATTTACTATTGCAGTATCTCTGTCCCAGAGGTGTAAAGGCACATCTGCAGGCTTGTGAGCTCCCGATCATAAGGGCAATGAGGAAGATAGCCAGGCCAGACATTTTAAGAAAGAATTATTTGCTCCCCTCCAAAACAGACGATGAAAACAGACTGTGAGAGATAAAAATATATCTCATCGATCCTGCTTGTTTTGCTTTCATGGGAAAGACATATTTGTGCAACAGCTGGTACATCCTGTATCTAATATGTGTCATATAATCCCTGAGCAGAACTCTCTCTCACTGCAATGGGAATAAAGGGCATTGACCGATTTGCTATTACCGTTTGGAAATTATATATCAGAACTGCATATTCTGAGATTTTCATGGTCGCAGCTACACGTACCATGGAATGGCTTAGGCGCTATTTGAAATATTTAAAATTTATCAGGAGCACTGATAAATTTTTGATTATTCAATTTATTGAAAGCAGAAGTGTTATAATACATCCACAGGGGCATCCAAATAGATCTAAATTGTAAAGAATTACTATCAATCCAATTTTCGAAATTTCCCAAAACTTTGCATTACCTTTGCATTTGCACAATGAATGTCAAAAGTGTTATTTTCATGTATATTTTGCCTGATTTGTGCTCTGGACTCTGGTATAGCTATCAACTCATTACAATCATCGGATGTACTAAACTGTAAGATGTAGTTGGTAAAACTTAGCAACATATTGTGCAAATATACCTTTGCATTGCCCTTTTCAGGGGCTGCTGCTGCTAAAAGCGCAGATAATAATATTGTAGGTAAGCTTCTTGGGAACTAAGACTAGGAGCTAATCATAATATTTGTGTACAGACTCAGTGTCTCTGCATTTTGAGAAAAACTATCTGAAAGGCATTCTAAATACTTGACTCTTGAGTATAGGAATAGGAATCCTGATCTTAGGTTGTTTGAACCAGCTAAAAATATAACTAGCTTTCATAATCCTGCTTGTATAACCGACTGTACTTATTGACTAGCATATAGGAGAATCCTTTTGTTGTAAAAACGACATGCGTGCACGCCGTAATCATCCCACATGCATCTGTTGTGTGCTTGCGTATACTTCTCATCAACTTCTCATCGCCATGAGTTTTCATTTTCTAAAGCATTCTTAATCCTAAAATTTCAGATTTAAAATTTCAAAGTATTTAATTCTCATGAAATAGATGTACAATTGTACATGTATGTCAGGTGGATTGATGACTTTCTCAAATTGTCTCAACTGCCTTTTAAGCTTCAGAGGAACTGTGACTTTAAATAAAGTGATACACAATTCAAAATGAAAGACTTTTGAAATGAAGACGTTTAGTGCTAGAACATTTATTGTTTTAGGACCATCACAATAATAAATCTTACACCACCAAATCATTGCTACGGATCTAAGCATTAATCAATAATTTTCTTTTTCTCTATTCATGAGATCTATGGAAAATCACCATCATTCAGTTAACCTTTTACCTATACTGGGTTATCCTTGAATTGGGTCTATGGGGATTAAAGAATTTGGTAGTCATTGGGTTAAACATGCAGCCTTAGAATACTTAGACCTAGTGAAAGAATTGGGTACTTCTTTCCCCTCATGAAATACATTTACCATCTTAGTCATAATCATTAACTCTCATTCACACATGGAAATTGTATGAAGCATCTCTTATAATAACGATATCTGCACAATAAGGATTTTAAATTTTTCTTCTGAGATCATTGGTACATGGTGACAAAACATAGTATACAGAAGTTTTGGTATTGTTTTCCACAAGACCTTGATGAAGAATATTTCTTAATTTGTTATATGACTGCTTTACAGAAGGAGAATTGAATGCTATTGCTGATTTTCCTCAAGATCAAGCTTCTATAAGTACGGGTATACGTTTATTTATACAATATATATAGGTGCATGCCTCATTAAATCTACACTAGTGGTATGAGTATGATGTTGTTATACATATGAATTTTTCTTGTATGAAAAAAAAGTTGTTCGATGTTTGAAAATCGTCTGCTTGAAGACACAAGGGCTCTGTGTCTAACAAGATTCGATGAGGTCCTTGTGTCTCCAACCAGGCGATAATAGGATAGATACAGTCATCTATAGGAAACCATTAGCTCTCATCAACTGATCCATACAAGTCCTTATGTAGACAGACACATGTTGCATCTTATTGGATGCAGTCTGAATCTAGCCTGCATGGCAGGGACTATGGGCTAGTGAGATAGGGACATGGTTCTGGAACACTTAAAACCAACAACACTATTTCTTCCTGGGGACTTGAACTGGTTATGTCCAAGAAGATTGCCGAACAGTCATGCAGCCAAAGGTCTCCTAATCCTTGCCTTCCTGAAAAATGGCACGAAAGACAAGAACAAAAGATGTTTTATAGGTAATTGAGGCTATTTTAGAAAACTTTATTCCATCAATTCATATCATTTTACCGAAATGAACCTCCTGGGGCCCGGTGTATAAAACTTAAAGGGATCCGGTAACTTTGTCTCAGATTCGAAACAAAATTCTGGATTTAGCTCATGCTGCAATTACAATTATAAGCCTGTACACCTGTAGGTCAGTCAGGAACCACATGGCTTTTACAAGCCGATTGCCTGTCTGATTATCAAGATATTTATGATTGGAATTACAAATTTTGAAAACCATTTGCCAAACGGTTTTGCCAAACGGTTCCTGAAGACACTTCAGTCCATTGGGGAAAACGAGTATAGTAAAACTGGTCACTCAAATATTTTTACTTTTTTGAGGCACTTTTTAATCATTTTGAAGCGCAATATTACACCATATCACAGACACTGATAACACGTAGGGCCGTGTATCTAAGATTTAACATTGTTAAACGATCCCTTTAATACCATTGATGGTAACTTTGCCATAAATGGCTACTTCCATGGTAACAGGGCTCAACAACAAATCAAAATCAAGGTTTCCATGGTAGTTACTATCAATGGTAATTGTGCAACGTGCCCAGGAAGGATGTAGGTGTGGCCCTCCTGAAGGGTGACACTGCAGGCAAACACAGGGGATTAGGATTAGATCTACATACACACCCTCTTCTCTCTTGATCCTTACCTCTAAAGAGGATGTATAAAGTGTTGGATGACACTACAGTGCTCTGGGTAATGATCTTAAGGTTCTTGTTATTTTTCAAAGCATGTAAACAAAAACAAGTGGACAAAGAGGGTGAGATGTGCCCTCTCCCTTCGATATCTCTGGTAATCACTAGCTGTGGATGTCTACAGGTGTTGCCCTTCTGTTAAATAATCATATCTGATTGATACGCGTCTGTAAAAACCCAATTACACACACACACGCCCGTATGTGATTTCACCACAGGCACTACTCTGTTTTTATAAAGAATGCCCCCAAAATAGACAAGGGAAGTGTTACCTCCAGTGAGAATGTAGGTGTGGCCCTGCTGTAGAAAAACACGGCAGGAATCGGAATAACTCTTTACTGTGGCGCCATTTCCCAGTGTGATGTCACCTTCTTCATCTCGGAAGATGGCTCCAACTTCCAGAGTGTAGGTCCAAATGTAGTCATTGCTGATGCTGGGCTCTTGTACTTGTGTGACATTAGCCAAGATTGCTATGAAGTAAAATAGGAATGGAGTGTGCTAGCTTCTGTGTCCCTTCACTCTACTCACTTTTCAACGGTCGTTGTCTACAAGGAAGCCGTTACTGCCACTGATATCTTCGGCCGGCTGGCAGAAGAGCGTAAGTGCGCAAGCGACTCAAAACTACTTTTTCGAATTATTCGCATTTAAAGATTTGTTTTATATGTAAACTTCTTTCCGTCCTGAAAATTGGTTTAAAACATAAAAGACTACTAGAAATGTTACAGTAGAACACGGCCACAATATTTTTTCCGGAAATAAATCAGTTTTATAAAAGTTCTACTTAACGCTTCATTTTTTACCTGAAATTTAAGCTAATGCCCTTCTGCCAGTCAGGGGACGATATCACATAGCTCTTACAGAGTTCTTTGGGACCACTGATTATGATTTCTTTGATCTTTGAAGGTTTATCGTTTAAAACAAGGTTTTACATTGTCATATTGTCCAGAGATGTCATGATGATCTATCAAGTTGTCCTGGGGGGTGTTTCACAAAGATTCTAAGTAGAACTTAACTCTAAGTTGGACTTAAAAATTATGGAAAGCCATTAGCATCTTTGAAAATATTTGGTAAAAATATTTTTGAAAGGCATAAAATGTTTATTCAAATCATTCATATTTTCTATCATTAAGGAAATTTCATATTCTTGTTGTGGAATTTATAAAATGTCTAAAATACTTGAATTTCTGCTTTTGAGTATATTTCATTTTAAGGCTCCAATGGCTGTCCATAATTTTTAAGTCAAACTTAGTGTTAAGTTCTACTTAGGATCTTTGTGAAACACCCCCCCTGGTGTAGTAAACGTTATGGGACTGTGTATCAAATTGTTTGTTGTTCAAATCCCTGCTGCAGCATCAGTGTCCTTTGACAAGCCTTTAATCTGTATTTGCCTATCTCAACTCAGATTAGTAAATTGGTATACCGTAGGAAGTTATTCATTGAATGCTTTCAGCAACTTTAGGGCAGCTTTGCTGAAGCCAGTGTAACAAGATACTACTTTATAATCATCTTGAGCAAACCTTGCATGAATATTGGTGCAATATATACATGCAAATGTAGTTATTATCATTCTTATTATCCCCTCGCCGACGAAGTTGGAGGGGATATAGTAACGCTGCCGTCTGTCCGTCCGTCCGTTCATAACAAATTTGGTTTCCGATCGATAACTTCAGTAATGTTAGATGGATTTTAATGAAATTTGATATGAAGGTCCATCAGAGCTGCCAACTAGTACGGATTTTCCGTAATTGGTACGGAAATTAACGACCATTACGGAATGTTGTCTCAAATTACGGATTTAAAAAAAAAAAAAAAAAAAAAAAGATTTTTTTTTTTTTTTTTTTTTTTTTTTTAATGAATTGAATATGATTTATCGTAGCGAGTGCTGTGAATAGGAGCCATTTTTCATGATAAACTGTGTTGTGATGACCTGAAATTCAATACTTAACATCTTTGTGTGAGTAAAATCACCAAAAATTTCAGATAATCATGCGTCCGCGCAGTGTTGGCGTGTCGTTTTTTTAGATTCATAGCGCCGCATAAGAAATTACTGATTTATACCCCAAATTACTGATTTTGAGCCTTGTGATTACTGATTTTCTGTTCTGGAGGTTGGCAGCTCTGGTCCATGGTATAAAAACACAGCCTAAGTTCAATTTCGGAGTATGTAGGTCAAAGGTCATAGCTCATTGAATATGTGAATCTGGTTTCCATTCGATAACTTGAGTAATGTTTAACAAATTTTAATGAAATTTAATATGAAGGTACATGGTATCACAATACATGTACAGCCTAAGTTTGATTTCTGAGTATGTAGGTCAAAGGTGAAAGGTCATAGCTCATTAAATATGCAAAAACACCTAATTATATATGTGAACGTGTGGTTAACTTCCTTGCCTAATAATATAATAGTATAGTCCAATGGAGGTAACTTGTTCTGACGTATACTGGCCATTTGTACCCTGCGAGGGGATGCTACGCTTTGCGTTGACTTGTTATTATTATTGACGAGAAAGGTCTGAATTGAATTGCATGTACAAACATTGCACTGCTATGTTTGCAGAAACACAGCTCTGTAATCTGTATATATGGTAAGTATAGAAGTTGCTGGTGTTTCATTGAATTGATAACTATTTAATTATTAATATTTCTATTTGACTAGTATTTCGCTACTATTTCAATTGTTATTTGTTGCTTTACTACAATTAATACCTAACAATCACTAAATGGGAGACATGGTCCAGTTTCACACATGGTTAGATAGATGTTTGAACTACATGTATGATATCAAATTCAATTCCCAATACTATCCTCTTCTACCATTTGGTATAATACACTTCAAAAATCCATACCCCAAGGCTATACAGTGCGTCCCAGAAAAAAGGAAACCGAGAATTATCAATGTTTTATCATAACTTAATCACAATTATATTTAATAATTGACACATATTTGTACTCAAAATTTGTTTTCACTGGCTGCCTGCCATAGTAACAAACAACAAACTCCACTTCGTTGAAGATCAGCCATGCATGAAGTCCTTTGTCTTCTTTGTTGTAATGGCAGACAGCCAGTGGAACGGATTCATTTAATAAAATTACGGAAATACAAGCATTACTTTAAACAAACAGAACTTCGTTATTTCTGGCTCATTTTTTCTTGATTGAGGGTGTCATATGAAAGGGCAGAAAATGAACTTTCTAGAAATGTGATTTTCTCTTTGAGATTCAGATACCGTCCACCAAATTACTTTTTGGTTTCCTCTCTTCAAATTGTTTTTAATCACTCATGCATGAAATATGCATCATATGAGTTACATCAAATGAAAAAAGAGGATATAAGCTTTACAAATGTGTGTCACTTATTGATTATAGTTGTGATAAAACATTGATAATTCTTGGTTTTAGTTTTTTCTGAGACACACTGTACAGTGTATTAGTGATATGCATTTAAATGTTTTCAAATGATGACCATTAAACCTTCATCTATCTAAAACACAGTATTTAAATAATTTAAATGAGGATATATATACCAACATACCAAATTTAGAATCGCAGTACTTCTGTCCCAGCGGTTGAAAGATACATCTGCAAGCTTGTGAGCTCCCGATCATAAGGGCAACGAGGAAGATAGCCAGGCCTGACATTTTAAGAAAGAATTATTTGCTCCCCTCCAAAACAGACGATGAAAGCAGACTGTGAGAGATAAAACTATGTCTCATCGATCCTGCTTGTTTTGCTTTCATGTGAAAGACATATTTGTGCGACAGCTGATACATCCGGTATCTAATATGTGTCATGTAATCACTGAGCAGAACTCTCTCTCACTGCAATGGGAATAAAGGGCATGAAAGAGCACCCCCACCTTGTCATTTAACAGAAAAGTATACTTGCTTAGCATTTAGAGAGTCATATAGATTGCTGTTTTTCTTTATTAATTTTGATACAAATAGTATTTCATCATCCTCTACTAAACAATTCACGAAACTACCTTTGATTTTTTGGTCAAATTACTAGCTTTTTCAAGTTCACAATATTACACAGGTCAAAGGTAAAAGGTCATAGGGCTCATTATGTATGCATAAATAGCTTGTGATTGCGTTGTCTCAAAAATCGATTGATGGGTTACTATCAAACTTGGGCATGTATGTTTTTTGCAGAGCCAATGAACTGATTAGACTTTAGGGTCATGAGGTCAAAGTTCAAAGGGTCGTACATGTAAAAAGAAAAATAGCTTGTAATCACGATATTCTTAGAAACTGTTATAATGGAATACAATCAAAATTGAATTTCTACTGCAATATTGCTTCTGTTTTGGTTTGTAAAATCGCTCTATGGCAGAGGCATCATTTTTTACTACATGCAGTCGAACATCTAGTTTCTCCCTCTCATCTGCAAGTTTTCATCTAGATCAATATCAAATCATAATTAATCCTAATCTATTTGATGGTTAATAGAATATGTCCTCCCCAACCTCCCACCTCATCTGTTGAGAATATATATCATTATCCTGTTTACAACCTCACCCACCTGACGTTAATCTTCCACAGCTGTTATCTTCTCTTCTCTTCTATTGTTCTCTGTCAGATTGGCATTCACCTTATTTATTGATTAATTGATCAGATTAACTCTGTCAGAATTCTGAGATTTTGTTTTCCAAAGCAAAACATCATTATCAGACATCTGCGTTAGGCTATTAATTTGTCCAGGATATAGGATTTGGGTCTTGGATTAGGTATTGGTTGAGGTGTGGTCCCATGCAGTTTGATCCAAAATGACTGATCAAAGTTTTAAACACAAGCCAAGTTAGCACTAGTTGAAGCTACAGGCTGGTGAAACATGCCCAAATATGGTGGTAGAGTCGCTGCCTGGCAAGCAGGAGATGGCAGGTTAAAATCCTGCTGGTTCCAAGATTTTTACTGACTTGTTTTTTAATTACAGATCAAACACGCAATCTTCATTTACTGGGTGCAAGCCAAACATGTGTTTAAAATAATGGTGACATATTGTACTTAATTATGTCTCCATGGCATATAACATCAAGCAAAGAACCCCCCCCCCCCTCCCCTGCTCATATAGTTTCTGTGTTAACCTTGCATGAGATCGCTCTTGGTTAAAGCTTCAAGTAAATTAACTCTAAGTTTCCAAAGCCATAAGTTTTCAAAACCATGAATGTGTACAAACAGTTCTTAACTACAAGAAACCTTGAAGTTTAAAATCATGAGCCAAACTTTTTTTAAATACTCTTGTGTGAATTAAGCATCTAGTATGACAATAATGTAAGCCTTGTAAGATAAATGTACATGACAAACGACGTCAACACAAACATATGTTCTTCCAATGTCGGACATTAAGCATAGTATCTCAGGTCAAGAATAATGACAGCAAATATGTGTTAATCCGGCTTTTTATTATTATTATTATTTATACCAAGCTTTTCCCATAAGGCTCAAAGCGCTTACAGTAAATGGCAATTACATGTACATAAATACATGTAATAAGAAAAACAAAGAAACGAAAAAACTACAAACTGCAAAAAAGATGTGTTTTCAAGGCCTTTTTGAAGTTAATAACTGATGAAGACTGTCTAATTCTATTAGAGGTAGATCATTCCAGTATTTTGAAGCAGATACAGTAAATGTCCTATCAGCTGCTAGTAATATGCAAGTAACTGCATGTGAGACGGAGAGGATCACTGGCTGACCTTAATGCCGTGGCAGGTGTACATAAATTCAAACAGGTATCTAAATATTGTTGAGCTTGATTATTGATTATTTTGTAGACACACAAGAATAATTAACAAATTATTCTTTGTTTCAAAGGAAGCCATTGTAATGAGCTCAAGAGTGGCTCAGATGGATGGTCCCTAGAAACCTGAAGTATCAGTTGGGCTGCCCAATTTTGTAGCCATTGCACACGATCCAATTTAGTTTGAGGGAATAGTAGAGAGCAGCCCATTACAATAATCAATACGCTTTAAATAGCTGATAAAAAAATCATAAACCTTCTCTGAACAGAGGGAATTCATTAATCATCATAAGGCTGTGATGGGCAGAGTCTGCCCCCCCCCCCAAGTTCTCAGCTAAGAAGTGACAAATTTATTTAAACCTTACAATGAATACTGATGGTTTAGTCCAATATCAGCTTCATGTATTAAATCTGTAAAGAGATATTGTTTGTTCACAGACCCGGATGCCATTTTTTAATGCTCACATCATTAGGAAGATTTATATTTCCATATGTTATGTAAAATTTGGCGATTTCTTCAAAAATCAGATTACAGTAGGATTGTAGAGTGTGTGGTGGCCGGGCTATATAGGCATATGTCCCTACTCTTGCCCTCGGGTAGCTTGAAGATCAATCGGTACAGGGCTCCTCATTATTAGGCGACGGGCACTGGAAGGGGGACTGGCCTGGTGCTTGAGCAATCGTAGACTTTATTCCATATGTCATAAATAACCTTCCTCGTATCTTTATTCCGAGGGGGTAGTTTGATCACGATGGACCCGCAGCTTACAAGGTTGAGGCTATCAAACTCATCGTTTTCGAACCTGTAATCTGAAATGTTGAAAATAAGATGAAGTAGTTACAGATTTGAGAGAACATAGCAGGGTTATTCTGGGTGTAGTTATATGTAATTGCTCGTACAATGATTTCAAAACAGTGAACCGATTTAATCTGTAGTTTTTCTGGGTTGTTTATGAAGTGTGTGCATTGCCAAGACTCAAGAGGGGAAGGGTGAAATGGTGCTGCTTGACAGATTAAATCCATGAAAAATGTATTGAATTGTAGAGCTCTGCATTCACTAACACAGGGTGCTTCACAAGGGGTTTTAACATGTATCAGCGACAGGGTTGAATTTTGGCATTGCATGTTTAAACATTTGACGCAGGTTTGGATTTTGAAACAGGAATTTTGTCAACCAAAATTATGTCTTAAATAATAGACATTAAATTTGTTTTAAAATGCTTCAAAATAGGGCTCATGTTTGACCAGATTTATTTAAACATATACAATGCAGGCTCAGGGCTGTATTGTACAATTTGTTTATATTAATATAAATAATTATTTAAATAGTTCTCTAAGTAGAGTCTTGATATACTGTTATGGTTGAGTTTATTGCTAGTAGCACTGAGGGGGTTGTAACTGTACTTTTTTGAAAGAAAACAGAAAGTAGTATCCCCAAGACCATGCAGGGAATACTACTATGTTTATGAGAATGGTAGATCTGGTACTTACTTCCAGCGAGCATGTAGTATCCCTCCTCCTCTAGAGGGACACCACAGGCAGCAGTACTAGAATGGGTCGTGGCATTGTTTACCCCCTGCACAACACGTCCATCTTTGTTACGGTAAATGTGAGTACTCTTGCGGATATTCAAGGTGTAGGTCACACGAGTAGAGAAGCTGTTCAAGATGAAGCGATTACCCTCGGCCTGGGGTGGTCTGTCCTCCTTCAGAACTTTAGCCATAATGACTGGGCAGTAGGGAATAATAATTTTGTTTAAAGTTCAAGTTTCAAGTTTATTATGTTTCACATTTTACACAAAAAGAATTTACATAATTGACAAAATTAGAACATAATATGAAATATACTAAAAGTGTCACATTATATCATCGATTCTTTGAAAAGACGTCACAATCAATTGTATTGAATAGTAGGTTATACAGGGTGAAATGTGAGGAACCTATTGAAAAGCTCAGCTTGTAGATTATAGGTTCCCATAAATAAAACTAACATTTGATTGTTTAAAACAGGGAATCCTCATCAGCATCAATGCTCTTCTTCCTGAAGACCCTGCACTTATATTATCATCCCAGCAAATGCCAGGTATCCATTCACACCTGGGTGGAGAGTGGCAGATGTGGATTAATGTCTTGCAAAAGGACATACTAGAAGACGTATAGATCACTACATTTACATATATATTGATAAGTCAAGAAATACTTGTTGACCAAACAATAGAGTTAGTAATGCTGATAACCATCTCTATTTTTAAAAGACTGATCATGCTGAATGTTTTGATTTACATGGCAACTACAGGTGATGAATCATAACTTTGTTACAAGTTACAAAAGTGACCAAAACCACTGAGCAGTTGGTTATTCCTTTAATTATTGTATTCATTGACAATTCTTCTTTTGGGATCTTGGAGCCTGCTAGTTGATGTATTATTTACACTTAAACAAACACATACACGTATACTTAGATATTTATTTGATATATGATTGACATTATTCATGTCTGTTTGGAGCCTTCAGGGCAGGCAATAGGGGCATCTTCATCATCTCAAGATTGCTAAATAGCCAGCTATTTCTGATTCGGGAAATAATCCCGAAGTTACAAATCGCATCTTCATCATCTCGAGATTCGACCTCGAAACTTGAAACTCGACCTTGAGAAATTAGCTCGAGATATTTTGCCAAATAGTGGGATATTTTGCAAACTATCCCAAGATATCTTGGGATGACAATCCCGGCCACATATCCCGCTAATTGCAACAATGAAGACGCAAATTAGCTGGATAGTTTGCGATCGGGATAGTTCAAATAGCGGGATATTTGGCGATCTCGAGCTAGTGAAGACAGGCCTTGTATGCCCTTCTGGCTCCAAAAGATGAAATGTCCTCAATATTATATCCTTCTTGTATCAATAGACCTGCAATTTACTGATTTATGCATACTTCTTGAACAAAAGTTGTTCTTGACAACTCAAGAGCTTGTTAGAGGCTTGTCATACATAGCAATGGGTAGTTTATGCTGGAGAGAAACATGTATGCATATCGTTGGCCGGCTGGCAGAAGAGCGTTAGCGTGCGAGCGACTCGAAAACTACTTTTCAAATTATGCGCATTCAAAGATTTGTTTTATATTTAAACTGCTTTCCGTCCCGAAAATTGGTTTAAAACTTAAAAGACTAATAGAAATGTTATAGTAGAACATGACCACAATTTTTTTCTCGGAAATAAGTTAGTTTTATAAAAGTTTGAGGCGATTTAGTGCTAACGCCCTTCTGCTTAACGTTTCATTTTTTACCTGAAACTCGAGCTAACGCCCTTCTGCCACCCAAGCGACGATATGTGTATTGAAATACAGTAGGTACACAGGTCTATTGATATACAAAATGAAGCTCTGCAGTGTGATAATTTTTAATCAAGTAATTGAAGAAAAAGAAGAGAGATTGATGTTTTTTCTTACCGTAATCGGCTTTGCAGTATCTGTCAGCTGGAGGTTCATTTAAGCAACTGCAAGCTTGCGAGCCCCCGATCATCAGAGCAATCAAGAAGATTGCAAGACCGTACATTTTGAGGAACACTCTTTAGCTCCACTTCAAAACAGAAGATGAAAACAGACTGATGAAACTTTGTACCACACCCTGATGTTTTGACAAATAAATAGGCTAACAATGAGATTATATTCAACAGCTGGTATCCCTGTATCTAATATGTGTAAAAATAACCTCTGATCTGAGTTTATAGAGGACCGAAGTATGACGTCACACTTGGGTACTCTTCTGTATCTGGCATTGGGGAAGAAGGGCATGGTATTTACCCCCCCCCCCCCCCCCTGTTTGTTCTCCAAGTCTTTTGAGGCATTATTTTTGAGATATTATTTCTGCAAACAAATTTATGAATTGAATATGTATGTATTGTATACTAAATTGAAGAATCAAAGCCTTTCTTCCTAAGAAGCCTTATCAAGCTTTTTCCTCTTCTCTTAATCTTAATCTTAATCACTCCTGATACATCCCCCTTCTTATGTCTTGCATGTTGTCAACATATTTTACACTAATCTAGTACATGTAATATATCTGTAATGGGCTTAGTGATATTGTATATGTGTTAAGAGCTATATGTATCCATACTATATTATTATTATTAATGTTTAATTAACCCATAGTAGAGTTTTCTATATTTCTCAATGAATCAGCTACTATGGATTAAAGACAGCTGTCAGTTCCGTTTTTTGTCCTTGCCGTTGATCCTGTTTATACCCAGATTACAAATACAGGTTAATTTTTTGTTCTGCATGCCATCTGAAATTATTGATTGGTTTTAAGTTGTGGTGTCGAAGAATTTCATACATTTGTGAAAGTGGCAGTGTGGAAGTGTAGACCACCTGTCTTCTAAGACCACTTTTTGTGTTTACCTTGGGTGGTCGCTATAGACAGGTTTGATGGTAGAAGTAGTATTATTATTGTTATTACTGTTATTAATAATAATAATATTAACTTTTATACTTATATACACCCTGTAGCGATTTTCATAAGACATTTATATCAAGTGCTTTACAATATTGATACAAGTAAAACTTAACAGAGTTATGACAAGAGAACAAATTTAAAGTGAAATTATCAAACATTAAGGGACTTGGTAACAGTGTTCAGATGAGAGATAGTGGTGCTAAGGTAGTGACTTCAATGCTAGATGTACAATTAAAGATAATCTGGAAATTTGAGTGAAAACAGACCATTATTCATGGTACAAATTGGGAAAAACGGATCTGATTGATTCCTTTATTCTCCCAACTATATTATTACAATTTAATTACATTTAGGTGAATGGAAATCTCACAAAGCAATAAAATGGCTCTACATTCCATTCCAGTCATTTAAGTGTTGACAGATTTTTTATAGCCTGTTTTTATGTCTTTTTTTCATGGAAAAACGGTTGAGAAAATTCAAAAATGGTTGGGAGAATTTACTGTTAATCACTGTTAGAGGGTGTCATACATCGACGCCTTCAAAGAAAACCATAGATATCTTCGTGGTTTGAGAATTTTCTCAGGATATTTTGCATGTCAGAGGGTTAGTACAGTAGAAGGAATATAGTAAGTAACATTTTATACCAAAATTAAGCAATTTCTTCATCAACCTTCAACAATGTTACCAAGTCACTTAAGATAACAAGGTAAGGTAACAATTTAAGAACTAGGTTGAATATGCATTTTCCATTAGGTAGGTTTTTATTAATTGTAGAGGTGTCGTAGTCGAGTGGTTTAAGCACTGGACTTGAAATGCAAAGGTCGTGGGTTCGATCACCGACACGGCACTAATGTCCTTTGACAAGGCATTAATCTACATTTGCCACTCCATACCCAGGAGAGAAATGGGAACCTGGTAGGATGACGAAAGCTTTTGTATTAGCGATTGCCATATAGTAGGAATACTCCCCAGGGAGTGGAGATGGTGCACATCATGTGTGAATGAATCCAATGACCGATGTAATAATATCTGTAAAGCGCTTTATAGAGATGGTATTTTGTATTAAGCGAGATATAAATCCAGTTTATTATTATTCTATTCTGCAGATACTTTACAGGACAGCAGCTGAAGGAACTGTTTGTTCTGGATGACCCCAAGGTATCACAGACGCAGATGCAGCTGGAAGCAATGCACTCATCTCACAGGAAGACCGATACACTACTGGATGCTCATATTGCTTTCCTGTACTCTACAGGTTAGTATGTACACAGACAGGAAGACATACAAATATACAAACGCAAAAAGAAATATACTGTTTCATTCATGTTTTGTACCATGTTCTTTCAATGAAACAACACATGAACATTGATTCACATAAATGTACATGTACAGTTAACGACTAATTTTTGTAAGTTTTCAATTATGTGAAAAATTGATTTGTCACGATTTTTATGTTTCTTGAGAATGTGACATATTAAGGGTAAAATCTAAAAGTATTCAATGACTGCCTTAATTCAACCAGTCCAACTTTCATTCTTGATTTAAAAACAAAACACTCCCAAAATATCAAATTAACAAAGAGTATGAATATGTTGTTGACTGTATGTGTAATCTTTGACTAGGATGGAATCAATTTTCCTGGGGGATGTTTGTCCTAGAATCCTTTCAAACGACCCATTTTCATACTGATTGCCAACTGTTCAGCATATCCTTTAGCAAGGCATTAATCTACATTTGCCACTACCTACCCAGGAGGGAAATGGGGATCTGGTAGGATGACGAAAGCCTCTATATTAGTAATTGCCATATGGCCTCACAGGGACCATATGGTAGAAATACTCCCCAGAGAGTGGAGATGGTGCACATTATGCCTGAATGAATCCAATGACTGAGATAATGATTTCTGTAAACCGCTTATAGATGGTACTTTGTATTAAGTGCTATACAAAGCCAGATTATTATTATTATTATCATTACCGGTATTCAACATGGAAAGGATTCATCTTGTTTTTTGTATTTTTATCAGCTATCTTTGGGATCAGTGACCATGATCTGATGTTCTCCCAGGAGGCTCATACGGAACCAAGTCAGGAGTATGAAGAAGAAGGAAACCAGTATATCCAACAAAGGGTAGGATAAGAATTTGATCATAGTTCAGTAGATACATGTATTGAAATACAGATCTTTTGTAAAAGAACACTACTGGATAGCAATATTGCTAGTAGGGTGTGGTGCTATTTTTCAGGAATGGCAGAAGCACAGTTATGTATTGCAAACACAACGTCTGGTCGTAAAATATATGAGATAACTCAGCAAAGTAAAGATGAGATAGAAGAGCATATATGAGATGGCTAAGCAAAATGTATACCTGTTTGGAATGGCGTAATTATGAAAACGATTATTTTGTCGCATAAAGTATAAAGAACTTTAATGTAGAGATCCAGATTAAGAATCAAAAGTGTTTTGAATTGATGCAAAATTCATATCATTGCGAAGGGGAGGCCTTACTGATCAAATTTAACAACTTCCCTCTTTAAAATATGTTTAGGGCCCGCAGTAATCATCTCTCAAAAATGTTGCTGCCCGCCCTTCCCCCCCCCCCCCCCCCTAAAAAAAAAAATTATGGTAAGCGAAACCAGATTTTATATGAATCACCTCAGCTCAACATGTACCATGCCTCACCTGATTTAGGTACAAAGGGCACAGGAGCTTGTGGCTCAAGAATCTGACCTGACCCGGAAGTTGAACGATCACATCGGGCGTGGCACGGAGGGTCCAGGCGGGGCCAAGAAGCGCTACTCTATGAACGTCAACCGAGAGCGGCTTCAAAATGAATGGGCGGAGAAAACGGGAGAAGGAGTCATCAACCCGCCTCTTCAACACGTTCCAAAGCATTACAGACCCGGTAAGTACTGTGTAATGAAGATCGTAAGGTGCACAGCTTAGATCATCATTTTGTGGTCTATTTTACACCTGATCAGCTTTTAACGTGTGGAATAGTACAGTGCATGTAAATCAAAATCAGGTACAAAAGGTACAGCCTTATTCTTTGAAATCACAATGTTCACAGTGTTAGTTGTATGTTGTCTTTAAAGTATTTTGAAAGACTTGCCATTGATCCAAACTGGTTCCAAGTCCTTCAAGAAAATGCAAGTCACTGTCAGGTAATTTGAATTATTAAAACATTTATATATGATAGTTATTCCAAGTGTTTTATATCTTCAAAGCAGAATTGTATTGGATTTTGTCAGAAATTATAGGAGCTTTTCTTTACACTGATAGATGCATCCAAATATTTTTTTATTTTACCAATCTCTTTTCCTCCCCCAGAGGATAGACCACCTCCAAGAGGAGCAAACATTGCTGTTCAAGATTTAGACCGCACCATGGAAGAGCTCACCCTAGACGGGTCTGGAGCTAGCCTTAGTGAGGAAGCGGAGGATTTAGCACATCGTTCTCCCGGTTACCAAAGTGATGCATCGGAAGCAAGCGAAGAGGAGGTTGTGATCATCGATGAGTCTCCACCGGGAAGCGGTGATGAGGAGAGTGGAGGTGGAAGCCGCCCCGGCAGTGTCTTTGTGGTGGATGATGACTCCAGACCTGGGAGTCGTTTAGATGACAGCTCCAGACCAGGGAGCAGGGTAGAGGACAAGGCGTTCATAGGAGAGTCCTATCTACCGGAGGACAGCAGCCGTGGTGGCAGCAGGGATGCTACTTACGATGGTTCCAATTCTAAACGTGATCTAGATGAAGAGATGGAAGATTACATTGATGATCACAGCAGTGCTGGAGACTTTCAAAGTGACCCTGAAGGATCAAGGGGTGAGGAGGGCTTGGAGAAGAGTGCCGATGAGAGCCTTGAATTGGTTGTTGGTATGACTCCACCAAATCGCCCCAATGAAAGCTTCCAGGACCATCGCGAGGAGTCGAGTAGAGGTATGACTTCCTTTGATACAGGTGCAACTCATGGTGACATGCCAGATGGTAGTGGGTCATTGAGAAGCAGAGGTAAGGAATCCAAGAGTATGATGCCCTCCGATACCGACAGCTATGGGATGATGGAGGAGAGTAGCAGACAGCCATCAGATCTACCCTACTTCAATGCCACTAGGAAACTTTCCTTAGAAGAGTCCTTTAGTCGTCAGTCGAGCCAAGACGAGGAAGCAAATACAATCGAGTGGGAGAATGGCCAATGTTCTTCCCAGGGTATGAGCTACGGAAGTCCGATGGGTGAAAGGAGGAGAGACCAGGATGTGAGTATGATTGCAGCAGATGATGTTGAACTAGACAGTGAGGATGATGAAGAAGGTGGTAGTTATGGGGAGGTGGTAGAGGTGTCCATCTCAAGTTTCTGTTGTCAGGCTGGTGGTGATATCAGTCAAGACATGGATGTCAGCATCGGTGCTGGAACCACCCACTCAAACAAAGATCATCAGTCTGGATTGCGAACAGGACTTGTGCCAATGGTTGAAGATGAAAGAGATAGTGTCCTTGATGAGGACAGTGAGAGCTCCGAGAGAAGTCCTCATTCAAATCTCCAAGAGGGTGAAGTTGATGATGAAGAGAGCTATGAAGATGTATCCATGGCCAGCTTCTCCGTACAGACAGATGACGTGGATGACCAAACCAATGTGCAATCAACAAACCCTGAGGATCAACCCAATTCTCCTCTCAGTCAAAATTCTTCACTGGAAGACCAGCAGTCCCCCCAAGAAGAACGATCCAGCACCAAAGGAGGACCTCCTGGAGGCATCGATCTTGATGCAACATCTAGGTTTCTTGGACTCACATCAGAAGAAAGCCCGTTCCTCGATACCTCATCCCCTGTAACTAAGACCCGCCATGTGAGGAGGATAGTGTCGGATGATGAGGAGAACGATGATGAAGACGAATCAGTGTTTGAGAGGGATGTTGGCTCCGGAAGCAGGGGCGGATTCCTTGATGATGAAGCGCAGCATAGGAGGAGTGATGAAGAGAAGAGAAGAAGAGATAGACAACTCAGCACCAAGAGAAAGAAACCATCCAGTGTGCTAGTAGATGATAGTGATGAGGAGGAGGAGGAGGATATAAGGAAATCAAGTAGAACCACAAAGTCTTCCTTGGATACTGACCAGAGTGGTGCTCTGCAAGGTAAGATGGCCACTAATTTGTTTTTTTTTTTTTTTCAGGTTCTGTTAACAGGTAGACCACTGAATTCTCTCGCTCCTGGGAGCTTAAATGTAAAGAATCACCTGGCTCTCATGGGCAATGGGTTTACTAGTTTACATGAAATGAAAAATTCTGATCTTTTCCAACTACAGTGCAATACAAATCCTGTCAAATTCATTCTTCTTGTGGTTAAATTCAATTTAAGTTCATAGTCATTTGTCTACAATTTTCTTGCCCACTAATTTATCTTGTTTTTTTCTATCGATTTGTAGACAGTATGAATGACTTCATTGTGGGGGATTCTGATGAAGAACAGTCTTTAGATGAACCGTCATTGGGTAAGATTCTTTAAAGAAAAATAGGGTGTCTATGTAGGTGATCCCACATTTGCCTTTTCAACAATTGCTCTGGGTAGTATGTTGTCCGCAATCAAGGGTTAGGGTTAGGATTTGGGTTGTGGTTAGGTTTAGATGAGGTTTAGGGTTCAGGGTAAGGTTTAAGTCTAGTGTTGTGTCTAGCACTGATATATTTTGATTTGATTTGTGTAGAGGATATAGACTTCGGAACAGTTGTCACAGGAGCATGTTTTGTAGATCCATTTATTTATGGAATTGATTTTTTTTTTGTCTCACACTTTGATGTGTGTAATAGTAATCCAAGATGGAAAATTGATAGGAGTGAATGTGCTAATTGATTAAGTCATGTTGTGCCATTTTTTATTGTAGATCTAGTCCATTTTCTAAACAACTCCACTGATTAGTGGAATAATGTTTTTCATGTAAAGAATGAGTAACATTTCTTTATTTTCGTCAGTTTTTTTTTATTTTTTTTATTTTAACATTTGTTAAGGATGGTCATAATGATATTCTTGTTTTGTCTTTATCCAGACAAAGATGGAGTCATTGACGAGAGCCTGCTGGATGAATCAGAGGAATTTCCATCTGAAGAAAAAGAAGAAGATGAAGGAAAAGAAGAAGATGAAGGAGAAGAAGAAGAGGAGGAGGAGGTTGGAAGAAAACGGAGAAAGAAACATGTGATTGTTAGTGATGATGAAAGTGATAACGATGATGAAGGTGACGATGATGATGATGTGTGCATAAGCAAACCAGATGATCAACACCTTAAATCAGGGAAGTATAGTGACTTCATTGAGATGGAGGCAGCGGCGGACAGGAGGAGTGCATCTCATGAAACCGGTAGAGTTTCAGATGAAGAACAAGAAACCAACGACAGTGAGGAACACTTAGAACTAGAGGAAGACGAGATGGTGGAAGAGGATGAAGAAGATGAAGTTGATTACAGTGATGAACGCATTGCAGAGGAGGAGGAGGAAGAAGAAGAAGAAGAAGAAGAGGAGGAGAGCGATGAAAACAGGAGTGAAGATGAAGCAGATGTGGAGATGCGGGTGAAGTACAAAGCTCTCGTAAAGAAGGGAATGTGAGTATATTATATCTCAATGATCCGTGCTAGCTAGTCCTCCTTTCATAGAATGGTGGTCATTCCAAGGTCTCAATTATTAAAGCCCCTCTGCACTTGTTTGGCCAGGAGGGATTAGACCTCCCTGCGTAGTCACTGACAGGAGTTTATCTCATCAAACTAATTCTCAATTAACATAAGAAAGAGGGGACCATGGGGGACCAATGGTCACCGATTAGGCATTGTTTGCTATATAGAGAGCGTAAGTAGCTATAAGTTATAAGTAGTGCAGTGGGGCTTTAAGATGAATTGTTTTGGGTTTGTTTTGCTTGAATTAGTTTCATGAATTGAAGCTTTGTAATGTTTCTTAATGAGGACATCCTCATGTCTTAATTTTTGAATGCCTCATTTCTGTTTATTATAATAATAACTTCGGGGTGTTTAAACACTTTTTGTTCTTCTCTCAAGTTTAATCAAGATTGGCTTTTGTTCTTGGCATTTGAATCATTTACGACTTTCTATGTCAAACATTGTTTTGAAATTGATTGATTATATTTTCTCTCTCTCTCTCTCTCTCTCTCTAACTCTCTCCCTCTCCCTCCCTCCCTCCTTCCCTCTCTCTCTCTTTCTTTCTCTCTCTCTTTCGCTCTCTTTCCCTCTTTCTCTCTCCCATTCTCCTGTATCTCTTCACATACACAACAGGTCTAAAATATCTGAAGGAGATAACAAGGGGGCCCTTCGTGCCTTCCTCCAGGCCCTTTACATTGACGGGAGCAGCGAACAGCTCCAGCTCATTGCCCTCAAACTCAAGAAGAAGCTTGAGAGTCAGTGAAACAGACAGACAGCCATCAATCAATGGCCACCTGATACAGTACTAGGAGATCTGACCTTGTGTGTGATGACCAGGGGGGTGTTTCACAAAGACTAAGGTCGACTTTAAGTTTGACTTAACTATGGCAGGCCATTCATGCCACTGGTTGCTCTTACCATTGGTCTCTCAATTACGATCTTTGGATAATATTTTTTCCTTTATTAATGAATTATCAAAAAATGTAAATTCGGTAGACTTGTGACTATGATTTGTACGTCTCTTGAGAGACCAATGCCAGTAAATGGTGAGAGCAAACAGTTGCATGAACAGCCTACCATAGTTAAGTCCAACTTAAAGTCTATTTTTGTTTTTGTGAAACACTCCCCAGGACAATCCTTAATCCTTTTCTTATTATAAGTGTTGTCAATCTTCTCAACAGAAACTTGTTCACCTTTGGTCTAAACTAAAAGATGTATGGTCTTATGGGATCCCATAGAGGCTCTTATGAACCAAAACAAGTACGAGGTTGAAAGTGCGCATTGCCATATTTGTTACCTTTGCTGGTATCCTTGTCACCTATAGATGCAACTTTAATAGCCTTCTTTATTTTGTGAATTACATATTTTTTTGTTTTAATAAAAAGAAAGTTACACACTACCAAGAACTAAATTTAAATGTTTGTGTTTTGCGAAAGTTTCATGTCACAGAAGTGTCTGGTTTAACAGTATTAAAGTCTACATTAACCCATTCAGTGTCACCAAATGTACACTTACATTATATAAAAATTACTTTTCATAAGACAACTATTCTTTGTAGTGCCTGTTTTCATTGTTCCTCTTGAAACAATATTTGTTTTGTGATATCTATCTCCACAATACGTAAACACGTCATGTTGAATTTCAAGAAGAAAGATCATTATTTTCTCTTAGTCCGAAAACTGTTTTTTATGTAACATCAAGAGCAGTAAAATGATGAACATTTTACAGAATGTTTCAACTCTCTCTCACTCTCTATCTACCCAGGTGAGTGGGTACTTGAAATCATGGGAATTATTTTTGTGACATAAGCACATTGGAGCTTGGGAAGAGAATTTGATCTGAAAATGTGTTGTCAATATTTTCAGGAAGTTAAAGATTTTGGTCTAGGGCGTTTATTTGATAAAAGTTGTATTCTTGTTGGTGCTTGTATGTCTAAGACATAATTATGTATTGTTTTTCTTTACTTAAAGTGATAGCATTGTCAGACTGTAGATAGCAGTACTCAAGAAGAGGCTTGCAAGGGCAGCATGGTATTGTAACCAGACTGGTTGGTGTCCAACACTCGCATATTACCTAGGAGCAAGCATGTATTTATACACAGATTGCATGATGTAAACAATGCATCATCGCCAAGTAAATTTTGTTTAATATGCCCTCTGGCAGCCTGTAAAAACCTTCCCTTTAACTTTGAAACTTTTAAGAAGGCAGTTTATCTATTGGTCTGACAAATCATATCTTAAGTTCTTAACATTATCAGAAGGATATCATCATGTGGATCCCCTAACCTTCTCATGAAACATTTCAGAATCTTTTTGATACTAATTCAGATGAATGGGTATGTAATGAACATGTATTGGATAAAGTGGGTGTCTGCATTTTCAGCTTGGAAACTGGTATGCATTGAATATATTTATCTACCCTGTAAATTGATAAACAATGTGGGTTACTCATGGAGGTATGAATTGAATCACTAAACATGACAAATATTGGTCATGCTGTTTTGGGGGTTCCCCTCTGCTGAGAGCCCAAAGTCCATTAACTCTGTGTGAGAAGATACTAGTTAATGCCCTTCTGGCTCTCAGTAATTGAAATGTACGTGTTAATGTGTATCTATTCAGACAAACCATAGAACTATTTAGGTGAAGAAAAAATGTGAATTGTGAAATGCGCAAATGTGAATTGGCAGTAGAACAAACATGCAAAATAGCAATAGAACAAAGATATTTGATAGACCAGTTTTTCTAACATATTCAAATTTATGGATGTTCTTTCTTGGGGCCTAGTGAGGAGTTAGCCCATTAACCTGTTATTCATGAATAAACTAAAATCCTTGGAATCCAGTCTGCAAACATTGCTTTTCGCTATGTCAGGCTGCCTCGGACAAGCTTTATGGTTGTCAAGAACAATCTTTGTTTAAAAAATATGCCTAAAATTTGAGTATGTTAGAAGACAGGTCTATTACAACCGAACCAATTGCATTTTACACCAGAAATTTCCTTGCATAATGATGTGTAGAATGTAGGAAGTGCACATATTTATGATAATAGGTCAGTTCAAAGTGAACATTTCAATGTTCAGTAATTCAGTAATTCATTTATTTTCCACAATAATAAAATGTTGGTCAAGCTTCGGGATTTCTTGAAAATATGTACACATAGTTGTGTGGAAAATTACAGAAAATTTAGAATAGCAGAGGTTCATCTCCCCTCTCTAGTGAGTATTCTTGTATTATCAAAAAATGTAGTAAATGTATGTAGTAATGTGGTAAGGTATGAAATTGTTAAAATAAGAGAGAAAGGAAAATCTTATATACAGGTATTAAATGTACATGTTCTCACTCTCTCACACACTGGACATAATTTGAGATCAGGTTTTACACAGAAGGAGTTGGGGGGTTGTCTAAAATAAGCACTTATTTACAAATGTTATTTTTGTATTGTTGCAAGTTCTGCATCATAACTCCATGTAAAATCATGACCAAGTGATATGCAGGATGAAATAAAATCACGAATACGTCACATTTCATCTTATGTAGTCATTCATTTGGTTTCCCTTCTCTATTTATGTAAATAGATACTTCCTTTGGATTTCCTTTATCTATTGTAATGACAAATGCCTTAAGCATTCATACATTTAATTTTGATAATCACATATAAATGGTATTCCTGCAATGCTTGTCAAAAGGCAAGTCAGATATTTGTTCCGCTCTACAGGAGCTTTAGAATAAAAACAGAATAAGTGAATATTGATTTCATCACATAATGGACCATTTTACTGATTCATTCAAATTTATGGATGTTTCTTCCCACAACCTCAGTCTATGTCAAACTTTCTTTTTTCACTTTTATGTAGCATGTCTATGGTTGGAATCTAACTTGCATATAGAAGGAAACAAATGAAAAAAATTGTGTCTTTGTTTGAGAAATATGCCTAAAATTTGAATATATTAATACATTATCAGTTGTTTGCATCATCAAGAGAGATAGACACTATGAACATGACTGACAAAGAAAGCGGACAAAATATACAGTTCCTCAGGTAGACAAAGGAACATCCCTTCACTGCTATTATGTAAAAAGGTGAATATGCATGTGACACCTGTTCTACACATTTTTACATAATAGCAGTGAAGGGATGTTCCTTTATCTACCTGAGGAACTGTATATTTAGTCCGCTTTCTTTGTCAGTCTTGTTTATAGTGAGAGTGAGACAGAACGAGAGAGAGAGAGAGAGAATATGGAGATTCTGCTGTTTTTTAATATCTTTTCAAAATCCGAAGATGATAAAATAAATCTTGTTGCAAGACTAACCATTCAATATGTTGTAAGAACATACCCCTTCCCTATTGTCTGCTTAATAGCCCCCCCCCCCCCCCACACACACACACACACACACCCCTCCATTGTTGTTGTTGTTTGTTGTTGTTTTAATTTATAGGCGTTTTTCATTCAGAAGTGAATATTTACGCCTCTTCTCTCAGGATTTTTATTCCTTTAAAATTAGATTTACTTTTTTTGATATATAGATTTGGATAAATTGGATTTTTAAAAGTCAGTGGCTGGCGAGCAAAAGGCTTATCGGCTATATAGGACGCCCAAGGACCAACTCGGACACGGTACGTAGTGACAAGCTTCTCAACTCAGCCTAATGCTGAGCCTAGGCCCTCCGACGTCCACCAATATGTCTAGTCGTCTCCACCGTGTTTCTTCAAAATTTTGACCGAAAACCAAAAAATAAAAAAAAAAACAGATCATGATACATGAAGATTTTAAACGTTAATATAGACAGTTCTCTCTTCTAATTTCTTTTTTTCTTCTTTCTCACTCTTCTTCTTCATGTACATGTATACTCACTATAAAAAGCGAAACATATTGGGCTCAAATAATTATGTGCGGTGCAAGGTGGTTAGTAGGGGTACAGGTGTACCCTTTTAGATCTAACTACGAAGTTAACCAGAGCCTGTTGGTGATTAATATCTGTTGATTTCAGGAGTATTGGGATTAATTCTTCGTTTTCTATTCCAGATTCTGTTATAAGCATGGCTCTCTCTATAAGAAAGAGTGGGCACTTACATAAAAAATGTTTAACTGTTTCTTTTTGGTGCTCACAGTTTGGACAATGACCTGTCTCATGTTGATTCAACTCAAAAAGATTATTATTTAAACCTAAGTTTCCCATTCTTAGGCGATGAAGAATAGTTTCATGATATCTGTTGTTCAGGTAACACACAAATGTTTTTGATACTAGAGTTTGCGTTTTTCGTAGGGGGGATGATGTTTCATTCCATCTTTTTTGCCATATCTCTATGTAGTATTTCTTTATAACATAATTTGATTCTGCTCTGGTAAGAGCGTTGTTGATTTCTATATTTTTATTTAGTCCTGCTTTAGCAAACTTATCTGTTATCTCATTGTGTTGTAGACCACAATGACTGGGAATCCATTCGAAATAGACCTGGGTGCCCTTGTATTTTAGTTGACTACACAGGGTTAAAATTTCAAGAATGAAAGATTCGTCTTTACGAGATTCTATGGCCTGGAGTGAACTCAAAGAATCAGAAAAGATGACTGCCCCGGTGTAGAGTCCTGGGAGTTGTAATAGGGTCATTCCATGTCAAATCACCCAAAAAATCTGAAAATCTTAACCCGACCATTTTTGATTTTGATGAAACTTAGTATACTTGTTGAGTGTGATCTCACAGCACCAAATCCAAAATTTTAGGTCAATCGGGTGAGGGGTTTGGGAGATACGGCCCACCAAATTTTGAGATTTTTTCAAAAATGGGGGTGGCGGGCCTACCTTTGAACCCTTGTATCTCGGGACCTAATGGGTCATTCTTCACAAAATTTGTATTGTTTTAAAGGGTATTCAATAAGGATTCCAAATCTGCCACCATTTTGAAGATTCGTACATGTTGGGGTACTTTGACCTCTTGACCTCAGATTTGACCTTGAAATTGACCTTGTGGATCACGTAACTTTGACAACATTTTTCATGAAATGTAATCTCTGACATGTTCACTAAAACATATTAAAGTTTCAGAGATATAATATTTTTTGTTTTGGAGTAATAAGGATTGAAAGTATCCATGCTCACAGATATTCACAATAAACCCTATTATACTGTATACAATACATGCAATATGCACAGTACAACATACATCTTCCACATGCTTTTTTGTTTTAGTCACATCCATCCTAAATGTCAGCAGTACTTGAATAGAAATAAAATGACAAGTTCATATAGGCCTAAAGGGTTAACAGGATGTATGGCTTTAGACCTCTGAGTCGGTTCTAGGATAATTACCCCCTGGAAAATTCACCCCCTGAAAACTACCCTCTAAGGACAATTACCCCAGAGGTCAATTACCCCCCCCCCCCCTATTCGTTAAAGTGGAATTCCAAACTGATAATAAGGTGGTTATAATCAAAGCAGATTTATTTTTTTGGGTATATTATTCTTGAGGGGTAATTTTCCGGGGGGGGGGGGACAGATTGTCCTAGGAGGTAATTTTCTGAGGGGTAATAATCCTCTGGGTGTGATAGTCCTTGGGGGGTAATTGTCCTCAGGGGGGGGGGGGATTTTCTGAGGGTTAATTTTCCAGGGGGGTAATTATCCTAGAACCGACTCAGAGGCCTAAAGCCATACATCCTGTTAACCCTTTAGGCCTATATGAACTTGTCATTTTATTTCTATTCAAGTACTACTGACATTTAGGATGGATATGCCTAAAACAAAAAAGCATGTGGAAGATGTATGTTGTACTGTGCATATTGCATGTATTGTATACATTATAATAGGGTTTATTGTGAATATCTGTGAGCATGAATACTTTCAATCCTTATTGCTCCTAAACAAAAAATATTATATCTCTGAAACTTTTACATGTTTTAGTGTACATGTCAGAGATTACATTTCATGAAAAATGTTGTCAAAATTACGTGATCCACAAGGTCAATTTCAAGGTCAAATCTGAGGTCAAGAGGTCAAAGTACCCTAACATGTACGAATCTTCAAAATGGCGGCAGAATTGGAATCCTTATTGAATACCCTTTCTAACAATACAAATTTTGTGAAGATTGACCCATTAGGTCCCGAGATACAAGGGTTCAAAGGTAGGCCCGCCACCCCCATTTTTGAAAAAATCTCAAAATTTGGTGGGCCGTATCTCCCAAACCCCTCACCCGATTGACCTAAAATTTTGGATTTGGTGCTGTGAGATCACACTCAACAAGTACACTAAGTTTCATCAAAATCAAAAATGGTCGGGTTAAAACCATTGGGTGATTTGACATGGAATGACCCAATAGCCATGTCAGGGCAAGTACAATTGCGGCCATCTCTGCTCTATAAGACGATGTGTAATTAGCCAGTCTCTTAGATTGAGAAACATCATAATAAGGTACATGAAATGCAGCAGCAGCAGAGTCTTTATCTGGCGATCTTGATCTATCTGTATATATGTGTAAATAATTTGTCCATTTCGAATTTATCAATTCTAGGGCTGCTTGTTTTTGGGCAAAACAGATATCTGTTTTCGTTATTACCTCTTTTAGCTCTGATGACACATGGGGAGGGAGTATTTTCCAAAAGGGTGTGTTGAAAAAATACTTCATTGGATCTTCTAGTATGTAACTGAATTTTAATGTACAATCCTTGGTTCTACGTCCAAAAGCTAATCTAGAGTTAGTACCTCCAAGAATATTAAATTGCCAACAATCTTTCACATCTTCGTTCAGAGGGTGTTTGCGCATACTCTCGATTCGTTTTCTTAGTTTAATTGATAACATTTCTCGCCTTAAATCAAAAGGCATTTCGCCTAGTTCGACTTGCAGCGTTTTAAGGGATGTACCTTTCCGAGCGCCTGCACAAACAAATAACGATTGGTACTGAACTGAGTTCAACATATTTTTTGCGCTTGTCGTAGCCGAGTTGTATGCTTCGCAACCATAGTCGATAATTGATAGTATTAATGCTTTATACAGTGGCGGATCCAGGGGGGGGGGGCCGAAACGGCCGCGGCCCCCCCCCCCCCCCCCCCCTATTGGCGGCGCAAAAAAAGGGGGAAA